GCTTCTGAAATTTGAGGAAGAAACTGAGTTAAAAGCAAAGGAAAGTTAGATTTCCAAAGTGCTTGCTTTTAGCAAAAGATGACAGAACATATTCTTTGCGTTTTTGTTGAATTGTGGCAGAAATAGCGTACAGTATGATTCCTGCAAAATGTTTTATTCAGTCATTTGTATATTAAGAAAGGTGTGGCCAGCATTTAACTTCCACAAATCTTAATGTCTTGTAGAGCTGAGAAAACAGAAAAAAATTACCTCCTCCCTCAATGAGTCTTGCATTAAAGCCTCTTCAAAAGCAAACCTCATCTTTGCAACTTGAAGTTGGCAGCTGAGACTTGTTCCTGAGAGGCTGGGTAAATGTAAGCTAAGGTAAGCTTGGGGACTCAACTATACAGCAGATGCACAGAACAGTGTTTTTTAAAACAGGAGGACAAGATCACAGACAGCTGAGGCAGGAGGGCACCTCTGGAGATTATCCAGGATCACCCCTGCTCAGAGAAGGGTCAGACACCACACATTCCTCATGCCAGTGTTGGATCTTGAAGATCTCCACAGACCCTCTGGACAACCTGTTCCACTCTTTAATCATCCTCAGTAAAAGAGTTTTCTTACATTCACACAGAATTTGCTGAATTTCAGTTTGGGCTCACCCCCTCTGGTCTCATCAGTGGCACCACTGAGCAGAGCCTGGCTCCATCTTTTTTACTCCCTTGTCACCTCCCAAATCAGGTACTTACACCTGGGTAAGATCCCTCTGAGCCTTCTCTTCTCCAGGATAAACAGTCACATAGTTTTTAGAAATACAATCTATAAATTCTGATTTATGAAGAACAAAACACACAATATAATAACTCGCTCACTGAAAAAGTATTTTCTGTTGGCACCCTGACAGTATTGAAAACAAGCAGCCAACAGTGAGAAAGGCAAAGCTAGTGTCTTAAACTAGGCAGACTCCAAATAGTGTGTCTCTCTTTAAAAAAACAGTCCTGATTAGATGGTGCCCAGGTGACACAAATAGATTTGTAAGTGGGATTAAACTCTGAACACACACAAAAAAATCCCCACCACTTAAGTATGAAGGAAAACTTGCTACATCTACAACTGGTCACTGCATCTTATCACCAAAACCTAACCAGCACCAGAGGGAAGGAACTGCCCTCTGCAGCATACCTGCGAAATACCTCCCTGCAGGATCCACCTTCCCATCATTGAATCGGTTATTCGGTTTATCCTTGTCCACTTGAGTAAGGGTGGTTACCTGCTCCTCTTTCCACTTCAAAGCCGCAAACTTGGTTCCCAGGGTGATGACATAATCTCCAGATTTCCGAAGAGCCACAGAGCTCACAGGAGCATCTAGAAACAGAGTGAAGCGGAAAAGAGGGATGTGCTAAGGAGAGACATTTCTGCTCACTTTAGACATGCAAACTGAACTCAGTGAAACCACAGGCAAGAGAAACAACCTACTTTTCTACCAAACACATTGAAGTCCAAATACATAGAAACGGATTAGGTCATACTTAATGCATACAGCAAATTGCTATGAAGGGAATCACAATTTATTAGGACACATAAACTCAGGGAACTTAAATGTTACCACTGCTCCCAGGAGTTATAATCATTACCAGCACCTGGTTCAGCCAGGTGCTTAAAAAAAAAAGCAACCCAGGCATTAAAAGGGGAACGGGGATTTTTACAACAGGTGGGTTCCCCACACACACAAAGGAAAAATCAATTGCCAACAGAGCTCTGGAGCAACTGTGTTTGTTCAGCACAGCTCCTGCATAAATCAGCCCTACACTGATGGAGGCAAGAGTATCTCTGCACTGGGACAGGCCACACTGGGCAGGAGAGCCACCCTCCTGCACCACACTCTGCTGTGCAGTTCAAACATGCCTCCAGCAGCACCAAAAACACACTAAAGAGTGGCAGAGCTTCCTAAGAGTTAAAGGGAAACAGAAAACTCGTATATACTCCATGGTTAATTTACACTCACTTGAGTTATTATGCATAAAACCTCAATTGCAGGTTCTTATAAAGGAATTAGTAAAAAAACCCAGTGAGTGTGAAGATAGCATTTCTGTAAAAGCCTACAATCAGATGCAATATAAGGAATAATAACTTTAGGCAGGGTAATAAAGTCTGGCATAATATTTTATATACATAGGACTAATCACCAACTTACTAATTAAAAAAACAAACCACATTTCTCATATTTATAGCTTTGCAGGGATATAATTAGATAACAGTTTCACAAATACTTACTTATAACTACCACCAGCCACCACTGCTGCGAAGAGGAACTGGTACTTTCTGGCTGTTTGCTCATGGCTCAGGATACCCCTTCCCTTTGCAGCCCTGGCAGTGGTACCACCAGAAATCTGAATGCTATTTGCTGCCAACACCTGATGGCAAGCTCAACTCCAGCAGCTCCATCTCCTAGAGGTGTGTTACCCCACTGCTGAGGCTGCTGGTGGTCTGGGCTCATTTACTCTGGGTGAGTGGGTGCCACTTCTTCCCGTGCCAGCACAGAAGTCAGCAGAGTCCCCTCAGCCGTGTGTGGCACCTGCTACACGTAGTAATTTTGCTGCTCTTTGGATTGCCAGTAACCACACCAATAAAAGTGCTTTTCTGCCAGTACCAGCAGCAGGGCCTTTGCTATCAGAATGTGGGAACACAACTCTCCATCTGCTTTCCTAGGAAAACACATGGGGCCATGGCTCACATAAGCCCTTTCACCTGGGCAGCCCCCAGGGCCTTCCTCCTACCCAGGGCGTAGCAGCCCCCAAGCACAGCAGTCCACACACCCTTGACTGGCTGTTCCTGGAGGTGTCGGCTCCCCAGATGCCCCTACACAAGAGCAGTCCCAGATCTTCATGACAAAGCACCGCAGAGGAAAGGGGTGTATCAGGACACAGACACCCTACTGTTCACTGCAAAAATACAGGGCAAGCGAGCATCTCGGCCCTTGCAGCCAGCTCAGTCCACTGCGACACTGCAGGGCTTTGTTAAAGCAGCATCTGCAGGAACTGGTTTACTTGTAGCATCATTTTATGCAGAAAAGAAAACTGACCATAGGGTCTCCCCTCCAGTCACAGTTATGTGTGTAGCGGTGTTCTCCCTGTGGAGTTAAAAAGAACATTTGACATTGTTGCTAAGTATGTGGTTGTTGTAATTCTCTGTACACTTTAGTAATGAGTAATTTCTCTCTTAGTTTCCACTTTGGAAACACACTACTTGAGTATGACATTCTTTGGCTGTTTGGGGAGGGGGTGTTGTGTCTTTTAGCCATGGTATTCCCAAAGGCACAGCTATTAACAATAACTATTTTACTACTAAAGAGAGGAAACAATTTAAAATTTTTAAAAAAGGAGCTACTTCAACCTCTATCCCTTCCACATCTCCAGAGAGGCTACATGTAAAAGACTACACCTTTGAGAGTAGGTCAAGGTGAGGGGAAAGACAAGGAGAAGCACACTCCCTCAGCTAATCTAAGAGGAAATAAGTTTGGGAAGAAACATTTCCCAAATTATTATCAGGCCTTCTCTCACCTTAAAACTGCTAACTACGTAATTTGAAAGGCAGAGAAGCCCAGACCAATTTCTTGTGAATAATGAGAGCAGCTTATGGGTAGGCAAAATTGATTTTCACCAAGTGTTACTGAACATGAGAAAAAAATTGTACTGAAACCACTTAAGGAGCTGTCCTCGGCCAGACAAATATTTACATTACCACATCCAGCAGTAAATCTGCAACTCCTTCTTTATGAGAGTTAGCATATCTCTTCCTTTCTGGAATAAATACTTAGACTGCTGAGACTCTGGCTGGTGATACTGTTACCTTAAAAAATATCAACCTCTTAATTCACTATTTGGAAATCTTTTACAATACAGAGAGTGTTACAAGCATTGCTCATTCAAGTCAGAACAAAACTACCATAGAAACCAACAGCGGAACTTTACTTCTGGGACAAAGTGGAACAAAAGAGGACTTTTGTCCAACTTGCTAGCTGTGGACAACTTACAGGAAAAAGATGTAGATCAAACATAACCCAGTAGCACAAACCCATAAAGACAGTCCCCAGGACTAAGTCTGGCCTTTATCTAGTATCTGTGCAAAGGCCCAGTGTCCTCTTGGCCGAGGAAAGTGAGGTTGTAGGGAAAGGTCTCCAGAAGATGAGCACCATGCAGCTGCCGAGGGACACGGCGCCAGGTCGGAACACAACTCCCGCACGCAGCAGAGGGGTTTCCAGCGGCTCCTTACCCACGGGGATGGCCTGAGCTTGCCTGGTGACCGGGCTCCAGCGGCACACCTTCCTGCCCGAGATGTCCACGTACAGGAGCGCGCCTTCCTTCTCGTCCCACACGGGCGACTCCGCGATCCCGTAGCCCCCGTTGGCAACGCACTCGATCCTGACGGACGACATGCCTGCGGAGGGAAGGTCACTGACCCTCAACGCGAGTTCCACACCCCCTCCCCCGCACCGGCCTGCTGGGAGGAAAGAAAAAGAAAAAGAAGCAGAAGAAGCGGAGGAGTAATAAAAGGGAGGCAAAAATTAAATCGGAGGTGCGGGAGGGAAAGGCCAAGGCCGCTCCGCCGGCGGGCCCGCCCCTGCACGCCCGGCTGCCCGGGCAGAGCGCCCGGCGCGGCGGCATCGCTGCCGAGGGTGCCACCGTGCAGTGCGAACACACGGACGTGTGTCCACCGATACGTCTGCCTATGGATACGGGAGAGAAGCGTAACAATCACATAATTAGCGGTAATTAATAACAACAACAAATAATCGCAAAACTCGCGGCCACCCGCACGCCGCCGGCCCTACCTGCTCCCAGCCGCGCAGGAGAAGTCCCGCCGCCGCCGCCGCTCTTATAGCGGCGAGGGCAGAAGGGCGGCGGCAGCGCCTTGGGTACCCTCGTCTGGGCGGGGCCCCCCCCCCCGGCCGGGCCGGGCCGTCCTGCCCGGCGGGGAGGGCGAAGGCCGGGCCGTTCGGGAAGCTCCATCTCCGCTCCGTGCTGGAAAGCCAGCGCGGGGAGCCGGGAGCGGCGGCTGCCTGAGCAGCAGCAGCGGCTCGGCTCCCCCCTCTCCAAGAGCTGCAGGGAGGAAAAATAGGGAGAAGAGGTTTCTCATGGCGGTGGGAAAAGTTTCTTGGCTCCCCGAGAGGCTGATTCCCAAAAGGCCTGGTTTCTGTCTGCCTTCTTGCTGTGCTTTGGCCTTGGCCGCAACTTCCAGCACTAGGGATCTTTCTCCACAGCTCTTGCAGCATTTCCCTGGTTATCCAGAAATCCTGGGCCTGCTTTGTGCCATGCCTTCTTTTACTCCCTGTGTTCTTAAGCCCCAACGACTTCCAAGGGCACAAGGCAAACAGCTGGAATCAAAATTTCCAGATGCAGTTCTCTGTTGCACCTGCTTATCTCTGTGCTATGACCACTCCAGCTCCCAGGCCTCAAATCATAAAGCAATCCCAGCTCTTCTCTTCAGCACTCCATGACACACTGCCTTTTGACTTGGATTCGGTCATCACTGCAGGGATCAGTGATGTCAAGTGACTTCAGTCTCACTGCTCCATGTCTTGTGTGTCTCCTCCTGGCAACTCAGGGTGCACCAGGCAGGCACAGGCTGGCTCACCACTGTCCCTGCAAACGAGAATCGACGTGGCTGCTCCAAAAGTCGCTTCTCCCCCATCCAGATTCTTGTATCGAGCTGGCACGTGTAGCAGCCCCATTATTTGAGGGGCACTGCTCAGGAGCGATTGCATAGCACCCACCCTGGTCTTTTAGCAGATAAGCCGCCTGCACAACTCCTGTTACAGATTTTATCTGTTCCTTAACATACACCCTCCTCTTGGCAATTATCTCCTGTCAAAGATTTTTACTCAGTTGCCTTTATTCATAAAGCAGGTGCTCACAGCCCAGGCTTCACTTGGTCACACTTTTTTTCTTTTAGTGGTATATTTGGAAAGTTCACGGCCTACATGACCTGACCGTAGGCTTCTCTCAAGGGACAACTACTGTGATATTCATTAACTTATTGTCACCTTACCTGAGCAGCTAGGCTTCTATTTTACAGGCTTGCATGGCATTACTTCAGTGCTCAGCACTGAATTTTCTCTTTCTGTCTCTGTTGCTGTCTCTACTGACAGAAGGATTTCATCTCAAATCTGAGGCAAGCAAATTATCAGCAACTGCCAACACAGAAAAACATCCGAGAAACAAATGTCACATCCGTCCTTCTTTCATACATATTTACAACTAGGAAAGAAGATCCAGAGGTTTAAAAAAATGTATGCAAAGAATTCATTAAGTACAATGAAGCACAATTATCGATTCTTATGAAGCTTAGCCACGTTTGCTGCTCTCCCATCATTCTTGCACTGTATGAGGTCGTTTGGGATACTTGAACAATGCAACAGCTTACTGAATCTGATAGCAGCAGGAGATACTCACACCCTCAACCCACCTCACCAGTCTCTCTGCTCCTTGCTGACTTACTTAGGCATTTGCCAGCATGGTTTGGAGGCATCAAAACAAGCTGTGTGTTGGCACACACCTGGGGAGAAAATTAACAGCTTCAGCGAGCACCAGGCTACAACACAAACTGTGCCACACATTTTGAGCTTGGATCTCTAGTTACACAGGACAGTACTCCTGTTTTGTCTTCTCTGTAATGGCTAATCCAGGCTTGCTGAAAGGTAGGAGCAGGGAGGAATCCATGGAGGGGGGTGCCTTCACAGAAAGCAACAGCTGAGGTCTTCTGCCAGTACAAGTTCACTGTGGGAAAGACGAGCACAGAAGAGATGGTGCCAAAGGCTGTGCTTCCTTGAGCCTTCCCCACTGGGAACTTCCCACTGTTTCATTGTAGTCACAGTGTCTACTCTGCAGCTTCCAAATCTGACTGATAGGGAGTACACACAGTACCTCCGTGGCTTCCAAAGGAAGTGGTTGGTAGGTCAGCATTTATCCCACGAGGTAGGGCACATCATATACTTGCTCCTCCTGCTTTGCAGGGAGCAGGGAAGTGGGATCTTAACATTAACAACCACGAAGAACAGAAAGAGTAGATCTGTGATGCAGGAGGCCCTGTAAGGTGAAGTCACAACCCTCCCCCAGCCTACAGGTTCCCTGAGCCTGCCAGAAGCCATCACCCTTCTTGCCAGTCAGGAAATGCTCAGCAGTTCTGGAGAACAGCCCAGTGTGCCACAGAGCTGGAAAAATCCCCCCACCCTTAAGGACTGTAGACGAAAAGAGGTGGTGGATTATTTCAGGGGCTATAAAGAGATTGTTTTGTGCATATGGTCATTCCTGAAAAGTCACAGTTGTTCTTCTCTCCTTTTATGAGCTTGATCCTGCCGTTTCTTCATCTTTAGAGTATTCTTTCTTCTGTCACCTTCAGTCTTTTTGTTTTAATACTGTTAGTCCTCTCCTCGCTGCTGGAAGGTGAGAGGGCTTAGGCCTAGTACGAAGTGCAAATGTCACATATCAGATGTCTGTATCTTAACAGCTGCCTCTGAACAGGGAGTCTGTCAGCCCTTCTCTTCAGACGGACAAGGTGCAGCCGAGAGCAGGGACTGTGCAGCCGAGGCCAGTGGAGCCCAAAGAGCCACTACCTCAATGTAAGCCTGTTAAATCCTGCTGTTAAATCCATTTGGGCACATGAGAATTCACCACTAGCAGATGATACGGCATTTTGGGGGGGGGTAAGAGGAGGAGAACAGATGGACAGACAAACCAAACCAAAAAACACCAAGCAAGAGCAGAGGCAGAAATACAAAATCAGTCACTGCAATCAGTTGGCTGGAACGCAAGAGTTAGCACTGCCATGCACTTGTTTGCTGCCAAGTATAGTTCTTGGAATTGACTTGCATGTCCAGATCAAGTTTTTATTTGTTAGTAAGCAATAAGTAGGTCCAGGAGAAATCAAAATGCTGAGAAGTCTCAACTGTTTACTAGTCTGGATGATCACAATTGTGTGAACACTCATAACAGTCCAAACATTTGCCAAAGTACTCCCTTTTCCTGTTTGCAAATGTCTCCTTGGGAGAAGGTGGCAGCAGCAAACTTGTGCCATTGACTAATTTATGTGTCTAACACCGCTGTCACACAAGTTAATGCAGAATGGATTCAGAATCTCAAACAGGGAATCTTAAGAAAGATTGCACCAAATTACCATGAAGTCATATTGAAGTATTTAGCCTTTAAAGTCCAGTTTCTCTCACAGAACCAGCAACGGTACCCTCTACTTATCACAATTTATTATGCAAATTCTTTCAGCATAACTTATGTACTGGCTGGAAGCTCATGAAAAAACATCTCTTACTTGAGAATGTAATGTTATGAGCAAACATCACGACTCCTTCCAACGCAGCCAGTCTCTCAAGTCTCTCATGAACACCCTCACACTGTCACACATGCACCTCCAGCTTCTTTTGTCACAGAAGCACCCACAAGTGCCAGATCCTGCCACCTGAAGCTGCCTCACAAAGCTCAGAGTTCCCAGTCCGTGCCTGTGCAGGACTTTGCTCTGCACCAGGAGCAGTCGGGCAACAGGGCGCTTCAGAACGCTACTCTTCAGTGGAACACAGCCAAGATATTTTTTCATTAATGCCTTACTTTTCTGCATTCTATACCCCACATGACCTGGATTTGCATTTTGCTTGCCTCAGGTTAAAAAAAAAAAAAAAAAAAAGAGCATTGATTTGTGCTACAGCAGCTGCAGAATCACAGTCACAACAGAGGCCATGCAAGAGAGCCAGGACTTCAGGGAAGGCAGCATCTTTCATTCAGGTAGCTGATTTAGCAACAGTGCTTTCAGTGTTTGTGGCTTACAGGCATGCAAGTTGTCCTAGTCCAAATCAAAAATAATCAAATTAACTGCAGGTTTAGGGTGACTGTTCAGAGCTTAATTTAGCACATACAAACAGACAATTTGAGGAAAGTCTGGTTTATGTATTAGCCATTTGTAACGAGTGTAAACTACAACTTGCTTCTTAGTATCTTAAAATCACCTGGCTCATCAGCTTTTAGGCCTCTGTGCTTCTTTAAGCCAGGAGAGATGTCTGGCTTGTTCTAGAAGGAATAATCAGGAAAAGAATAAGACAGTGCCCCTAATCCATTTTAGAGGAGACAACAGAACAATAGCTGAGCCATCAGTTCTAAGGAAGGAAAATACCTTGGCCAGGCTTTATTCAACCAGATGCAAATGGAGCCTAAAATGCCAGTGACAGGGATTCCCAAACTACTCAGCACCGCCCTCCCTTCTGAGATAAGGGAGATGGAACTACAAAGGAATGCAACCAGACACCGTGGCTTCAGATGAAGTGGGTGGGCTAGTTTAGGGATGTTTTTCCCCCTCTGATGACTCAATCCCTCACTAGAGCCTGCACTTCCAAAGGTATAACCAGAGCCATTTTCCCAAATGGCATATAACACCTTTTGTTTTTATAGGTACTACTCCAGTGGACTCCTTGCAGTTGCTGAGAACACAGAAAATAAAGAGTGGCATATCTTGAGGATGGCGAGACACTGGAACTGGTTGCCCAAAGAAGTTGTGGCTGTCCCATCCCCAGAAGTGTTCACGATGAAATTGGATGCAGCTTTGAGCAACCTGGTCTAGTGGAAGGTGTAGGGGGATTGAAACAGGATGAGCCTTAAGGTCTTTTCCAATTCAAACCATTCTGTGATATCTTGATGTCTGTGTCACAGGCTCAAGACCTTTCAGATGACCAGGAGATTTTCTGACAGCACCTTCCTTAATGTTGTTGCTGTGCTAGGTTTTAAATCTTTCCTCAGCACACTAATTTGTCCACACTAATGTGTCCTGCCTTGCCCAGCGCTCTTCCCTGGCTGGGGTGAGAGCAGGTGGGGCAGCACCTGGGGAAAAACAACAGAAACCGGAAAAAATGTCTTCAGGATGGTTAAGCCAAAAGAAACCATAAAGGTGTCATTATGGAGCCTACCCAGAGATTTAAAACAATGTATCAGATAAGGCAGCCTAGGCGAGGCAGGTACCCAGCTCCAGGGCTGCTGAGAAAGCAATAGGAAGGCAGGGAGGGTCTGCCCAGCCTGAAACAAAAGAAGAGTCCCAGAGAAAGGGCAGGGCAAGGTGGATTCAGGAGGCTGTCCCACACAAAAGAAGCCTACTGGAAAAAGAAAGATTTTGTGGAAGCTGTATGCACAGAGGCAGAAAAACTAATGAGCAAATATCTGAGGCTGTTTCTCCTTAACCACGGAGTCACAAACCTATCGAAGCCATCTGCAGAAGGGTTAAATTGAGGAACAGAAATAGGCATGCACATCTGCTATTTTCAAACAACTTACCCCCACTGCTATGTAACATTTTCTTTCAGAAAGCTGTGCTTGCAGTCACTTTAATCCACTTCTGTCACATCCCTACGGATGTGCTGACTTGGTCAGGAGCAGAGCCTAGCAGCAGTTATCCCAGGATCAACTCTGCAAGAGGGATATGTTGCAGAACTGCACCCCAGGAGGGGCAATAGCCTGTTGAGCTCTGAAGCAGGCACAAGGTTCAGAAGCAGCAGTAGCGCAGCATCTGTCACAAAACCAGAACCCAGAATTCTGTGAGTCTTCACTTCTTCCTAAAGAAGCCGCATTGAGGCACTCCATTGTTTTCCATCTCTGCCCTTCCCCGGTGTTTTTCCCTCGCATGCCAAGCTCCCAGGTTGTGCAAGCAGCTTCCTTTTGTTCCTTAATTCGCATCAAAAGCATGTTTTCCTACTAGATGTGTCAATTCCCTGCAGTGCTAAACCTTTACAAGCACTGGGATCATCAAAATTCCCAACGATCAAAACGAGTGGTTTCGCTGGATTATCTTTGCAGCTCACAGAGGCAGGCTTTGAACACTTGGTAACACTCGGTCCCTCCCAGTATCAGACACACATCATGCGTCTGCAGCACAGCCTGTACATCCAGGCCTAGTCATCAGCAGTGCCACTTCAAAATCAAGTGAATGTTTCAGGCTTACATTTAATATCCAAACGTTTGTAATTTCTCCTTCCGTGGTTTGGAATTCACGGTGCAAAGAAAACATTCTACAAATTACATATGCAAATTCTAACTGAGAAACATTTCTCTTAGGACAGAAACACAAATGCAGGAATGACAGTGCTGGGAATCACCACACTGCCCCTGTTAGTGCTTGGCCCAAGTTTCCATCACCCAGGAACCACATTTATTTGAAAAGACTCTACAAACCAACAGCGACTGTTTCCAAAATAATGGGTATACCAATTTCCTTCCTTGGCTCTTGTCTTTCCCACTTCCCAACCACAAGCAGACTGTGTTTGCATAGGAAATTAGAAGCTGCCAATCAGAAAGTCAAAAAAGGAAGTCTGTTGCTGGAATCTGTTGCAAGATTGCCTTCAGGGAAGAAGAAATCCTGGTCCTGAAAAACAGCTGACAGTCCAACACTTACTGCTTCTTCCTAGTGCTGATTTTTCTTCTCTTCTGTCTGAATCTTTACCCCCTTTTCCCCCTTTTTTTGCCTCCTGTTTGCTTTTCAGCTGATGGACTTGAGCTCCATTTCACCCAGCCTATTTCCAGCTCCAGTCCCAGCCCGCCTGGGGCACCTGCTCAGTCACTCCTGCCCGTACACCAGGCCACAAGCACGTTGGCTGCTCAGCCTCCCACTCACTCTGCCGCTGCCAGACCCATTGCTGGCAGGGAGGGTCACTGCTGCCTGCAACACCCCGATTGCCAATTCCCCATCTCTCTTTTGGATGCTGCCGGTTGCAGAGCCGGTCAGAGCACGAGGGATGCTATGGGATCAGTTGTGCAGCTACACCCACTCCTTTCTCTCCACCTTCCTCTTCCCCTTGCCTTCTTCCCTGCTCTAGCACAGGGAGCAGCTCCTCTCTGCCAGCAAGGTACATCACAGCACCGGCCTGTGGGAGCAGGGGGAACTACAGCAAAAGTCCATGTAAAACCGACATGAAACATCAACCCGGGAACTTGCTGGCACTGATTTGCCCTTTGCACACACAGGGCAATAGCGGGCTGTGTTTAGCTATGCATGTCTGCGGGTGTACAAGAAGAGGGATCAGACAGAAGGCCTGGCTACGGCTCTTCCTCTATAACTCACTTTGTCCAGCCAGGGAAAACCAGCCATACTACAGCATAAGCAAATACATTGAAAAGTGAGGCCAGGGCAGCAAATAGTCTGCTACATTTGCTCAGCTAGGCAGAAACAAAAGCCAGGCTTGCACTATTTGCTATACACAGCAAATTAATGCTCAGCGACTCTTTTTTGGGAGGCTGAAGGGGAAGGGTTTTCCTGGATACTTAACTTGTTAAAGCATTGCCAGATCTGCAGAAATAATTTACTCCTGATGGACACAGTACTGATGAGTTTCACAGCCTGCCAGACATAGAGGGAAAAGCCCTGAATAAATCACAACAAATGAAAATATTGTTAGCAGTTTCATAATTTAATGAAAAAGTACTTGTAAAAAGGGGACATCTGAAAAAGACCGAGTCCATCTTGGAAAATTGAATATATATATATTTATATATATAAAACAAAATGCAAAAACACAAAAAAAATTGACAAATAAGGTTAAGAGGTAATACTTCAAACAGTTAGCCACCGAACGCACAATAAAAACTAGCAAATGCACTTTGGGGACAATACTTGAGAACTACATAACCAAGGGCTCCTTCATATGTTTATTAAGATCATGTAAAAATTAGCAAAACCATTGCCCAGACTGGAAACAACTGAATTGATAACCCCAGAAGAGCAGAAACGCTGAGTTTTGCTAAAGCACCATTTTCCCTCTCTTCTGTCATATGATTCCAGCCACAAAATAATATGAACACTTTGCTGACCTCCCAATAAGTGTTCCCAATAAAAGCTTCGTAAAATTTCAAGACCAGTGAGAGAGGATTACTAATAAATATTGAAGGAGAACTAAGAGAATCAGAACCAGAATACAAATTAATAGATATTTGTTTACTTTTTCTGAATGACCCATGGCTTAGAACACAAAGCATTTCCCATTAAAATAAAATATGTGGAAACCTAAAATGCTACTGCATATTTACACCAAAAGAAATAATTTTGAAGATACAGCTCTAGAAAGATCAATTACACAAATATACATAAAATCAAAAAGTAAAAAAAAAAATTAAGATGCATGAAGCAAACAGAGCAAGTTTGCCAAGTATACTTTTTTTTAATTATCTCACTACTGAAGAGTCCTCCAGCCCCTGACCTGCTAGTCCTATTGCAACTAGGGAGATTTCAAAGTTTAAAACAAATCTGAAAATGTCGTTGCCATTTCCCAAGCTAAAAGCAATAAATTAAAACCATGAAGAAAAACAATTTGCTGTTTGGATTCTGCATAGTCATCTTCACACTGGGTGGGGAACACCTTTTGTTTCCAGACAAAATTGAACCCTCAACAGAAAGGAGCTGCATGACACGCCCTATACAACCTATGGGCCATTTCAGCCAGTGATGTGGGGACAGAAGATGTTGCGTATTTATGAAATGTACAGCATTTCAGAGAAAAACAGTGCAGTTACTTTGTTGATCAACACAACATCATCTGGAAAACAAGAAGTTAAGTTTGCATTTAAACAAAAATCCCCCTGTCATTGAAACAAACAGAAAGGGATTCCCTTCCCTTCTCACTTCCTCAATACTGGCTGAAATTTAGTCACTATTTGACAATTGCTGATTTTAAAGGGCACACCAAAAATGTGTTAGACTGGGAAACAGCAACTGATCCAGAGGTTGAAAAGCAGCTTAATAAAATAGTAGATTTTCAGCAATTAAAAAACCCATATTTCAAATGATGATTGGCTAAAATTTTACAGACCTAGATGCCAGAAGGCTCCTATGCCTGTGTTCAGGCAACTAGGGTTGAAAATTTGCACCTGCAAAAAAAATTCAGCAAAAATTATTTCAAATTCTGCCGACTTTAAAAATACCAGGTAAAAACACCTCTGGATAAGAAATCTCAGTTTCAAGAGGAACCTGGCATCACCGGTGATTGCCTAAATGTAAGTGTCAAATAGCATTTTTCTTTGAAGTAGTACACCTACTTTTGTAAACACTATCCACAAAATTAGCCATCTGTACTTGTTAGCTGGGTAAAATATTTACAAGTGCATCCCACAACAAGCAACTATGTACAGAGATTAAAAAAACTGAAATACTAGAAGTTTTATATTTACAAAATAAGCGCGTTATTGTGAAGAGAAACAAAACCTTCAGCAAAAGCAGGGAACAGGGGCATGTCTAGAGGTCAGCAAGTTTGGCAGCGCCAGCGACGCCTGCTTCCACCCTCCGCAAGGAGCCTGCAAATGCCACTGCAGTTCAAAGCCTCCTGCAGAAGGGGATCCTCACTTAGTAGTCACTTAGGGCCTGATCCAGCAGAGCACACCGGCATGTGCTCGGAGATCTGAGCACAACCGTTCCCGGGGAAACCAGCAGGACTTTTCACATGCTTAACCTCCTAACACATCCGCAAGTGCATTGCTGGATCAAAGCCATGCTGCAGGTGCTGTAAGGATGCAGTGTCAGTGTGTCCGTTTGCAGTCTCTTGCAACAAATTAGAGCAAGGCAAGGACTTCTTTAAAATCTGTCCACCATCACAAGACTGACTTCACATGAACACGCTGCCTCACACATAAGCTGGCAAGGGGAAGCGGGTTCCTGAATTTATGCAAAGATTAACCGCTTCGTGCTCTCCCAGATGTTACCCTCTAGTAAAACACGTGATTTCCACATGGCTTCGTGGACAACTGAGCTAACCTTGCGAAGACTGCAAACCAATTCACAGTTGAACAGAACTACTCTGATTTCTCTCCCCTCCCCCCCATTCCCTACTGCAGCTCTTCTTAACATAGGTCCTAGAATATTTTCTGGAACCCTTTGATAACGAGCTTTGCACTGGTACACTGGACTACATAAAGGCTGAATTACCCCGTGGGGGCTTCTAATCACCTTTGTACCGAACTGTGAGAAATCATATTCTTTTTGTTTCTATTGTGACAATCTCTTCCGAAGTCCTTACTTGGGCTTTCTCTCTCTGAGCTACTTCGTCTTAACCTCACTTGCTCTTTGTTTTCATCACTTTCTGCTTCAGAGTCACTCAGCTCTAAGTCAGGACAGTACCCATCATTGTCCTGGTATGGAGCACCTTCAAGCGTCTGCTTGCTCCACAAGCGATCTTTTGTTGCAAGTCTTCTTGTTGGCTTTTCACAGCACCGGAGATCTTCCGTGGTCCTCACTAGACTATTGGTAGCCTCTTTAAAGGACCGGCTAAAATGTTCTATGGTGGATTTTCTGAAACCGCTCTGGCTGGCCAAGTGAGCTGTGAGCATGGACTCTTGTTCGTAGGGTGTCTGGCTGGAGCTGTCTCTCTGGCTCACGTCTCCAGCCCTGCCCATCAGACCGTTGGACTTGGCCATCAGCCTTGAGTTCTCCTGCTGCACCCGCCCATTCCCAATGGAAGACTGTCCATGCAAGGCAGCCTGGAGCGCTAAAGGCTTCCCGGACGGCTGACCCCGATGAAACTCCATCATCTGCGTGGGGCCACAATCCTTTGCCTCGCTCCGAGGCTTGCCAATCCCTGCCAGCAACCCATTACTTCTGCTGTCGTGCTGATACCTGGTGTAGGATTTTGCTTTAATTTCAAATGATTCCTTTGACATCGGCACGCTCCGTTTGCTGTAAACAGTGCTGTTGTTGTCAGGAGAAAGCGGTCTGTTGCCAGGCTTCAGCGAGTTATTTTTGCAGTCTCCTAGTGCTGATTTGGGCATTTTTAACTTTAGGGTGATCCTGGGAGGTGGGTAGAACAGTGTGTTCTCTAGTGCACTTGTCAGGGTATGGCCTACAGGAGAAAGAGATGAGGGAGCAGGAAAAAGAAAGGCATTTTTAAAATGGGTAATTTGGGTTTTTATCCGTAACAAGTTTTATAGTCCATTATAAGGTCATGCAACAGTAAGAAGCATTTGCAAACAATTAGCGTGAAATTATTTTAGGATATTAAAGAGAAGCTGGGGTAACAAAAACTGTACCAAATTAACCACCACTTCAGAATTTAGGTAAGCATTTAAGCATTTCCATTAAAAACAACAATGTGCCCTTTTTACAGGGCTTTCAGCCAGTGAATTAAACTAGTTTTGAGATAATGACTGAAGTAGTTCCAACAAAGCTGTAAAAAAAGGTTCATATTCATTTTTGGACGAAGAAAAAACAATGCTTCAAACTGAGCTTCTATTTGGATTTAGTTCAACTCTCCGCTTTGTATTATAAAATTCTCTACACTTGAAAAGTCTTTTCACTCCAATATATTAGTCGTTATGATATTATGCTCATACGGCACCCATTGCAAAGTAGTTATCAAGCTTTTGTAATAACCATTAAAAAAATCACTTGTGTTTGTAAAGACATAAAATAAATTTAGTAGACATTTCTACTAAAGTACATTAACACAAAACCAAAGTGCTTCAGAGTACTGGGGCTTCCACAGCGTACTAGTCTGATTTAAAACAGATCAAAAAACCTACCTTATCAGTACTAATGAAACCTATCCATGTTTCAGGGGTAGAGAAAAAGCACAAAGACTTCACCATAAACTGGTCATTAAAAATACGTTTTTTGACAGACCAGAGAGATCTTAACTGGGCACAGAAAAACAGCTGCCCTCCCTATTAAAAACCCCACAGTAATTACACTATAATGCATATTCTCCTCTTGTGAAGTGTTGTGCTCCTTATTTCAAAAAGTTGCTATAAAAGTGAAGGGCAGAGTGGGGTTTGGCACCTCATCATTCCTGAACAGTTGCTAGTCACTATTAATAACCAGAGTACTTAAACTCTTTTTGAAGGAAGGAGAGCAACTGTAGATGGTATGCTAAGAAATGCCTCTTTGGCTCATGAGGCACCATGAGAACAGTAATGATTCCTATCAGTCACTCTTCTCTCTTGCCTGAAGGAAACAACTTCTGACAGCAAGAAAAAAAAGTTTTCTCAGCTGGAGAACTAAGTACCAATGCAGAGCTTGCTGTGAGGAACCAGTGCCAGCGACCAGTAGCCCAAGGAAGGAGAAACCTAAGAGATCACCACCAGCTCCTTTCTGCTATCTGGATACCACAGTGACTAATAAGCAACAGGCATATACCAGAATCAGCCAAAAAATAAAGAAATATTCAAGTAAATATTTTAAGAGATTAAAGAGTTCTCTGTGTGTTGTTACTTCCACTGATGGAGTACTTGAGGAAAGCTTTTCAAGGCAGTTTTATGTGTTAAAAACACTACGCAGGAACATACAGAGAACACACTGTTTTAGTTTAAATACAGGCAGAATTTGTAAATATTTTACATTTATATGATTACCTGCAGCGATTTCCTGATTAATGAGTTGGACTTGCAAATTGAAGACCTGTTCATGTACTTTACTGTGGGACAACTTCAGTTTCTCTCTCCTGCTTACCATGTAGCAGAGATTTCTTACCTACGGAGGAATAAGAGGAGACTTAATAGGCAATAAGAAAATTAATCCTGACATAGCTTAAAAAGTGTATCATAAACAAAATCAAAACAACAGTATGTGCAAAATCCCTTGGCAAAGTTCTTGTGGATATTACTTAACATACATAACCATCAATTTTTTAAAAAATCCTTTTCTTTTTTTAATAAATTGTCAATTCAGTGCACACCTTGAATACATTTCACAAGACAACAGAATATATTTTCATTTTGGCTGACCCATTTACCAGTTTCTTTTTTGACTCCATTGCACTGACTCTTAAGGTTCAACAAGGCCAAATGCTAGGTCCTGTTCCTGGGTCAGGGCGATACCAAGGATCCATGTGGGCTGGGGGTGAATGGATAGGGAGCAGCCCTACTAAGAAAGACCTGGGGATAACGGTCAGTAAAAACATTGGACAGGACTTGTCAATGTGCACTTGCAGCTCAGAAAGCCAAACCTATCTTGGACTACAGCAAAAGCAGAATGGGAGAAGGTCAAGGGAAGTGATTCTGTCCCTCCACTCTGCTCTGGTGACACTCCATCCGCAGCGCTGCATCCAGCTCTGGCATTTCCAATGCAAGATGAACCTGTTGGACCAGGTCCAGAGGAGGTCCACAAAAATGGTTAGAGGGCTGGAACTTCTCTCTTCTGAAGACTGAGAGAGTTGGGTTGTTAAGCCTGGAGAAGAGAAGGCTCTGGGGAGACCTCACTGAAGCTTTCCAATATACAAAAAGGGATTATAAGAAAGAGAAACGAGAGTCTGTAGTGACAGAGAGAGGGGCAATTCTTTTAAACCGAAGGAAGGTAGGTTCAGGTTGGGCATAAGGAAGACATTTTTACAGTGAACATGGTGAGGCACTGGAACAGCTTGCCCAGAGAAGTTGCAGGAGTCCCATCCCTGGAAGTGGTCAAGACTGGATGTGGCTTTGAGCAACACGGTCCACTGGAAGGTGTCCCTGCCCAAGGCAGGGGGTTGGAACTAGATGGTCTTTAAGGTCCCTTCAACCCAAACCGTTCTGTGATTCAGTTCCACATAATTCTACTTTTACTATTTGTTTGAGTTAATAGCAACATTTTCATCTAATGTAATCAGAATAGGAAAAGGCACTGAAAATTCTTGACAAACATCTAAAAGTGCTTTCAAAACAGAGAAACAGTGTAAGGATTGGTTCAAAGGTATCTGCCAAACGTTCTTTCCCCAGCATTCAGTTCCATCTGTTCAGAATTGGTACCTCTCTACCCCAAAACAAAATTCCAAGATTCCCAAATTTATATTTATCCCAAAATAAAACAGAGTAGAAATATCTTATAACATGGGAAGTTCAAAAACTTTGAGACAGGCATTTTAAACTGTGAATCACCTCCACAAGGGCATCAATTTCAACAAGATTTGATACAAAGCAAACATTTATCAAATAAAAGCTTGAAATGGTCTCTTGAAAAATAAAAAATGACCCACCCCAAAATACCAACCCTCCATCTGAAGTACCGTATGGGATTTTAATTCTTTTTTAAAATAAGGTTCCATATCCAAAGTAGTCCTGGAAAAGATCTGAGATTGATTATGACTAGATTCAAGACAACAGTTCCACTGACAAGTACAAATCTTGGCTCCAACACTCATCTCCCTGTATTTTCATGTTTTTCTCTCCCCAGTACTGTTTCCCCTTTTTCTTACAACGCTATTACCTCTCTCCTGCTTTTGCTACTCCTCTCCTCATCACATTTAGCACATCTATTTTATTTTTTACACTTCCTACCTATCTCTAAGCACTTGAAAACTGCAGCTGACCACTACCCAACAGGCCAACCTAATTGGTAGCCTCTGAGAGGTAACAAGTCTGGCTTCCTCCTCCATCAGCTGCCAGAAAAATGCACTCTGTACACCTTCCTAATATATCCCTGCTCTGATTTTTGCTGATGGATTCCTTATTTCCAAACTACCGTCTAGCTGGCAATCTGGTAAGAACCCAGCCAGCTACTGACAAAAAAAATAACTTCCTTTACCTCCTTCTCAGTAAAGCCATGAGCAGCAGCAGCAGACACGGTGGGTTATGTTCAGACCGCTAATTATCTGTAGGACCTAAGGCAGTGAGAACATCTAGGTCTAGAGAGTGAGGAGTTACTCCGTCTGCCTGCTACCTGGGACAACCTGACACCAGAGGAAGAGATGTGACTAAGACTCCTGAACCAGATGTCATGGGAAGTGGTACGAGTACAGGCCCAGCATTCTGCTTCTGCATGTGTGGAGTCAAAAAGTCACCACAGAATTTAACCACTTAGGATATCACCTACTTGACTCCAAACCATGCAGGTGAGTGCTAAAAGACCTCATTTTTTTTAAACATTAACTCAATTGAAGTTGAAATCAGAGAGTCAGTTATCAAATATGTACATTGTGCACAGAAACATGCATCTTAAAATATATAAAGGAATAACCTCTAAGCAAATCAGGAAGCACTTCTTTCACACTGAATCTCAATGGACTCAGAGGGACAACTTCTGAAAGTCTGCAGCAGGCAGTGCAGCATATCAAAAAATGGAAGTTGAAGGCCTTACCTTTTTTAAATCTTTTAAATAGTTATTTTTAAAATCATCTCCCTTTGTTTTCCCCACTCCCACTTTCATCCACAAACAAAGACCTTGCTCACCTGCAAATAGTTTTTCAAAATTTTACCAGTTAATTTCTTACCCTCTCTAGGTCCTGCCTCAAATGCATGAACATCCTCATGCGGGTATGAATGCTATCTTCTTTTGGCTGCACCAAGCCATTTTCTTCATCCTCCTTGGGAGGAAACAATGGTTTGTTAAAGTTACTTTTTCGCTTTAATTTCCAGTAATTGTAGATGAAGTCTACAGCAAGTTTAGGAAGGCCCAGCTCTGCTGCAACATCCTCCACTTTAACTAGTGAGTAAAACTCTTCTTCCAGCTCTCTGAGTTTTTGGGCTCGTAAACTCGTTTTCTCACTCTCTGTTTGCTTCTGCTCTGACACGGTCTTGGGGTGCTCCTCAACATCAGGCAACGAATTCTGTTTGTTCTTGCTGTGCTTTAGACAGTATGACTTGAACTTGACCTCATCCCCATCATCCAGGATAGTCTTCATTTCTAAGCTATGCTCAAAGGCACAGGTGACATGAAAGGCAGTGATGCAGCTTTTCACAGAACACTGCAGACAAAACAAAACAAAAACCCTCAATTACTAACAACGAAACAACAAACCAGAAAAGAAGGACATAATTATCTTAATTACATGAAAGTCCATTCCTACAAAACCCTATTTTCTACACAGTCTTAAAAATATCTGTTGATGCCTTTGATGTTGGTTTCACCAAATTTAGTATTTTCTTGTTTGCAAAGTGTTCAACAGAAGGAGTTTTCTGTCCACCTCTGATGCACATAGCAGTGGCTCTTAGACATCTCAGCCTCATTCAAAAGAAAAGCAATCCAGGCTAATTCCTAAATCTCTGTGCTAGTCAACTAATTTGATAGAAAAGAACTATGAAGAAGTAGATATCTACTCAGTGGTCATCTGCATTGTAAAGCACCTCTGAACACAAAACGCAATACCCAAACAGCCCTTGTGACATAGACGTACCCTGCAGAGTCACTACAGGACAAGTACATACCTGAATGCAAGCACCAGTTTTCAGTTTGCATAAACTACACACTAGAGCCCATCGACTTGGTGGAATGTGAGACACCTTTGTGATTGGCTCCATCCTTTCTGGGCAAGCAATACTAACCTGTAAACAAAAAAAATCATCACGGAAAACAGTTACCAAAGCAATAAAAACAAGCTCTCTATTAATACCAGAAGAAGCAAAACACCCTCACATTTCTCTTGCTGCAAGATCTCCATGTGCTCACACTTGTCAGCAAGGAACCTCAAAAGATCTCACGTGCAAACCATAGTGTGGATGATACTAATTTAACCTGGTGGCTCAAAGTTGCAATTCTTCAAAACACTTGAGTCATCTACATCATTCTTTGTTATGAACCAGTGTCCTGGTTCTGGTAAGGACAGGGTTAATTTTTGCAGTAGTTAGCAGGGGACATGGCTAGGATCCAGAGGTTATTCTATACCACCCTCACATCATTTTCTGGGGATAGGGGGAAGGGCTCTCTTCTACTCAGGGTAAATGTGGTAGTCAGATAGCGCGCTGGTTCCTTCTTTTAATGATAGTATAGCCATTTGTTTGTTTTTCTTATTCCATTGCTGCTTCCAGTAAATTGTTCTTATCTCACCCTGTAATCTTTACCTTTGGTACCTCCAATTCTCTCCAGCCTGCTGCAGGGGAAGGGGAGCAGGAAGGGGGAGTGAGCAAGTGGCACATGGTTTGGAGTGTTTCAGTGGGAACACTTAATTGGGGAATACCATTCCTAAACCGTGACAGCCTTTATTTGGCACCCAATGTGGGACACAGAAGGTTGAGACAACAACAGATCTGCCCAGAGTGGGTTGGAAACAAAGTTTATCTAAGCATTTGCTGTATTAGGTACAGAATCACTGGTCACAATGTTGCCTGCTCTGTTCATGTGGGTGTGGTACCTAACCCTGTATATGTTTCCATATATGCAATATGAGCTCATCGCAGTGCTCTTTTTGAGAGCAGGGAGAGGGATCAGGATTGCTTTGTTGCTGTACTGTGTGATATTAGCCTATGTCAAGATAACATCAAGGACAAGGAGGGTTGTTTGGGATGTGTCTTCAGTGTTGCTCTCCTGCCCCTACCTTAGGCGCTACCTCTTGGAGTCCATTAATAATTGTACCCAGTCTGTGGGGAGAACAGAGCAGGATGATTTTTCCCAGCTTTTCACCCCCTTTTTACCTCCTTCAGACCTGTTACAACAGCTTTTGAGAAATTTTAATTTTCTTTGGATGTTAAGGAAAGCATTATCTTGTTGCTAAGTCTGCCAGGTCTCCTCAGCCCAGTCCACACCATGTTTAGAGCTACAGAAGTTTAGGAAGGTCTTTTAGAGATCTGCCCTGAGGGTGGATAGTCATAAGTGGCATGAAATGTAGGAGGGCATGGGCCAGTATTTGGAGGACTTCTCTCCTCCAGTGGTTTGAAGTTCACTCTTGACCAACTACAGGACCCTGTTAAAGTGATAAAACATGTGAAAGAAAAATGCCGTGGCAAGTTCCAGAGAGGTGCAAAGCTATGCACTGTGCTGGGCCCTGTTTACTGTTTATTAGGCACTGCTTGTTACTAGACAGCACCCTCAGAGGGAGGAGGAGGAAAGCAGACCAACAGCCACCAAAGCCACTCAAACTGCAGCTGAACCAGAGAAACAACCCAAGCTGGTAGCAGTCGCTCCTAGAAATCCAAGACCAAATCAGTTTGCTGAGTGAGGGATGAAGAGGAATCAGAGCCCTCAGAACAGGAGGAAGAGGCAGGGCCAAAGATAATCCCCCCATCTCTATCCCTGAGTGAGCTGCAAGATATGCAAAAAGATTTCAGCTGCCAGTGGAGTGAGCCCTTGGTGATCTGGCTGCTCCCATGCTGGGATATCATGGCCCACAACACAAGAAAAACAGTTAAGGCTGAGATTAGAACAATTATTTTGTTTTGTTTTTTTTAAACTTTAAGAGCATTATGCTACAGTAATTTTCACAGATTATCTCCACAGTAGGAGTCATGCAGGGACATCCAGGTTATATGAATTAGTTTAACACATGATAATTAAAGCGGTGACTTTACAAGAGCTAGTAGACAAAGCGGAACTTCCCAGCTTTTCTTTGGGGGCACATCATCAATGACTTGACGCACATATTCATTTTAAAACCTGCTTAATCCCTCAGGAGGAAAGGCTCTTCTTCAGCAGACCTCCTCAGTGAGGTAGACTTACCCAAAGATAGCAGTGCTAAGTCATAGTTGCTATGCTCAAACAGAGTATTTTTGCTACTCTCTCCTTATCATGCACTGCTTTAAAGATCATTTCAGTAGCTGGAAGAAACAGCTTTTCAAGAGATAACTTGGTTCATCATTTCCACATTTAAAAAAACAGTTGATCAGCAGTTCATGAATTAATGAATAAATTGACTCAAATAAGATACATGTTTGTTACAGTACTTCACCCTCTCATCTTCCAACTGCAAACCCACATCTTTTGGAATACAGTCAATCTGCTGTGTGGCACTTCTGAAAGTCTTCCTTAGGAAGACAGTGAGATGCTTTAGAAAGGGTTCAGGTTTTATTAGACAAGAAGGAGAACACTAGGCAATATGTGATGCCCTCATCAGGTAGAGATGAGAAGCAATTGAACCTATTGTGGCCTTCCTGTAAATTGGTGGAAAATTGACAAGGCTATCCCTGAAATGCCTATAGTTCAACAAATCATGTCCAGCACTTTTAAACATCATCAAATGTAGCTTTTTTGCTTCCCAAAGGAAAGAGCCTTTCATGAACCTAACTTCACCTTGCTCAAAACACAGCTGGTTACAAGTCATGCAGGTGTTTCTGAAACAATATTGTACAAAGACTGACTGTTACCACTACACTAAGAGGCAAGACTTCCTTTAGGAATTAAGGGATTTTATCAACTTGTCAGGTTGTCTACATTCTTTTCAAAAAGAAACCAGAATCTTCAGTGATTTTTTTCTGGAGACTGAGTAATACCAGCTTTCCACTGTGCTTCCCAGCAGGAGTTGGGAATTGACACAGATCTCTTCCCTGTCCCTCTCTGCCTCCTTAATGCTCTCCCTGCTCCTTCCCCAGAGGAAACTCATGAGGTCAAGAAACATTTATACTGGAAATACTGCCCATTCAGCTTGTAATGCTGGCTGTTTATATTACCCCACTTTGTAAAAGCACAAAGAGGCACTTACTGAGTCAGGTGCAATTTATTTATACTGGCTTCGTGCCATCTGCATGTTTCTGATACTCAGAGAAGTCAAGGCAAAGTCTGTTTGAACTTTGCTACTCAGAAGGGATCCAGGGAGCAAACAGGCCAACTTCTTCATTCCCCAAAAACTCCCACCCCAAGGCAGAAACTATCCATCTGCCATTAAGATGTAGCCGTTTTCTCTATTTCTTCACCTTGCATCAGGTTACATCTTGACTGCTATACTCTGAAGAAGTTTTAAGAGTGTGAGGAAGTGAAAACAATGGGTTGTGAAGTCTGCTATCTGCAACTGTCATGCACACGATTGTCCCCCTGCTGTCCTCTGCTTCCTTGCTAACCTGTCACCAACAGGTGCACCAGTGCACAAAGATCCACGTCAGTGGCTGGGAAGGGCAGGTCAGTGCCTTGAGTATGGCCACTCACAACAGGATAGGCAATTTTATCTTTCCTCTATCATTTTCTGCTTCAGCTAACACCACACTGACTGACAGAGGATGTAACTGTAATGGGTTATCTAAGGTAGAGAAGGACTTTGAATTTCAAAACACTCAGTATAGGTTTTCTGGTATCAGTGTTTCCTTTTCTTAAATAGAAGAATGCCTTTTAAGAAAACATGAAATAGACCACACATTTACACTAAAGGACAGTAAAGGCAGAAGAATAAATGGTTATAAACCAACAATGAGTACACTTTGGAAAGTAAAAATCTTCAAACATCCCAATCAGTAAGGGTCAAGAAAGTCTTTAAATACCACTAAATCACAAGGAAGGTAGGAAGGAAAAAAACATTTTAAGACAGTGCCACATAAATTAATGAAGGAAAATACCTGCTGCAAATGACTGCAACAATGCTAGACTACACTTGGTGACTCACAAAGCCTCTTTGAACCTTTTGGTACAAGATAGATATGTTTTATAGCCCCTTCCTTTCTGCATTCTGCCTTGTTCCACTTTGTTAGGGTCACAGGAAGAAAGGACAACTTTATAATTCATCTGTTTCTTTTGGGGAGTTCCAGCATGATACTATCTTGAGGAGGGGAAAAATATGAGAATATACATTCTCCCCTAAAGCATCCATACATAGGTCTCCAGCCTCTAGGTCTTTCTTCCCCCCTGCAGCACGTAAAGCCACACTGACTCTCCAGACAGGCACTGGCATGCCATTTTAGCAGAGATTCACAAAGGTTTCTCTGGTGACTCAATTGTTTTACAAGTGACAATGCACAAGCCTGAGAGATAGAATGAATCCAAGAGGCATCTCCCATCCCTACTGGCAGGTAGCACCTCCTCACTACATCCAACACACTTGGCATTGGTGTGAAGGGGAGGAGGTGCCCAAGGCTTGGGAGTCACTGAATGGGCTATGGAAGCAGCTGGATTCAAGTTCTTCCACCTGGGTGCTCTCCCAGCGGCTTCTCTCCCTCATCAGAAGGAGGTGGGCAGGCAGGAAGCCAGTGTGTGCTTCCTGCCCTGCTGTCACCTGCTTCTTAAACCTCACTGTTCCTCTTCTGCTAGCAAGAACAGCAAGGCTGTTCACAGGCAGAAAGGACCTTTTAGGAAAAACCAGTCTGCTCAGAGCCAGGAAAGCTTCCAGTCAAGTCACGTCCTAAGTGCAGGAGGACAAGTGATATTTTTTTTTTTTTCAATTTGAAAATAAATCTGTGGGTTTTCTTTTTCAAATTCTTTCTCCTTGAAGGTGGAAGACACGCCAGGAACTACAAGGAGGCCCGAAAGGAAGAGTGTAACTTCAAAGACAACCTCTTTAAAAAGCAGATATATACCCAAGACAGCTAGGAATTACAGATTGCATCTAGTTGCTAAGTTAAAAAAAAATACCCAGAATCCAAACATCTTCCTCAAAGTTTTACACGCATGAGGCTTGGCTGCACTTAGGAACAGAAGGTTCAGAAAATACGGTATCCTTGATGCCACACTGCTGACATATCTGGCTACTGCCTCACACCCAAATGGATTTGTGAATCTTACCAGAAAGAAAGCATAAATATTCCAAGTGCAAAATAAAGCGCAAACTCCATATACCCAAGTGAGCATTCCATTTTACAGGATTATACTGTGATGCTAAACTTGATTCAAAATTAAGTGTAAAACTTCATAATGAAGCTCTCCATATATGTATACGTAAATATATCAAAAAGGCCTTTACTTATAAAATATAACAGATAAAAAGTCACATCTCCCCCACTGTTCAGAAAAATTTTAGTTCAAAGAAACCTTAACTACAAATCTTAGCATGCGTCCTATAGAAATAATGCCAAAGGGGTTCTTTAAATAAATAATTAAAACAAAAAAAAATAAAAAAAAAAAGTAGAGGTATTTGTGCAAATTATATGTGTATCTGAGCACACAAATTTATCAAAAACAAGAGAGAATAAAGCTGCATTTTAAGAGGTAGCTTACATCAGTAACCCTTTCTCACAGATCACTCAGGTACCATAATGACACCAAGAAGTGACTGCTGAGTAAATCGAGGTGACAAAGTGACTCATTAATGGAACATAAGCTGGTCTCTCTCCCAGTCTTCACAGAGTGTGGAGACCCATCAGAGTAAAGTCCAGTATTATGCCAGACAGATACCTTAAATCACGAGAACACAAAAAAGCAGAGGAGGGAACGAGAAAGGAGGAGGACAGAGACAGAAATCAGGTTTTTACCTCTGGAATCCAAAGAGCACAGCTCACGTGTGCCCACTTGGTCCCTGTCCTGGTAGCTTTCATGGCACCTCCTCTTTTGGGACACAGGAGGCACTGAGGATGTATTCCCAGGACACAGGTGCGACACAGCCAGCTCCCTTCGGGTACTTTTAAGATTCCATAGCACGCCTTGGAGAACAGATATTGAAATCATTATGCTGAAATTATTTCACACACAAGCATTAATATTCATGCAGAGCAAAGCTTTCAAAAAGTAAAGGCACAATCTGGCCTTCACTTAATCCTTTTGTGATTTCTTCACCTTAAAATGAGTCAAGTGATCAAAGAGATCAAAGTAATCTTTTTATTTTTACCCTGGTTTCTTTTTAGAACATGTGCTGGTATTACTTGTTTACAGTGTAAAGCATATCCATTGTGACTGCACAACAGCCCCGGTGTTAAGAACCTTCTCTTTTCCTTTTAGTAATTTTTAAATTTCCAAAGCAAACAACACTGACATTTCTTTAAGTTACCTTCTGCATCTAGGAGTTTTTAAAATCACAATTTCCTACTGCTAAGAACTTTACATTCTAACATAGTTCTATTTAGATGTGAAGGCATATAAGCTGTCGGACTGAAGGAAGTTTCCTGCAACATTAACTTACTTTTGTGTTTACAGTTCCATGCATTGTTTGTTACTTCAAATATTTATATAATAATTCAACAAAAATTACAGCATGTACTGAAATTATGAGGTGTTGTGTTTTATGCCTGTTTCCCAAGTATTGCTCTTAACCATGTGGAAAATGAGAAATTTATTAAGTTTTCCTAGGTTTGAGAATGTAAAAAATTCTTTCCAATTCAAATTCCTCATGGTTCTTAATGGAATCACGATGGATCCTACTGTACATACACATACACCTATTAAGTTGAGTGTATCTGAAACAAGTGGCTGCCACCAAGGCCTAATTCCAAATGCTCCAAATACAACTTTTATCAAAAGGGCGGATTTCAGAGGAAACCTCACCATCTCTGGGAATGGTAACACTGGAAGACTCAACAGAAAAGGATCATTAGTTGTAACAATTTTTCAGATTAAATCTAGTATAAAATTTCCACACTTGCCTTCTCAGCCTTCTAAGATCTCAGTATTTAAGTATTTAATATGAAGCAATATCATAAAACACTGCACGTTTATGTCAGGCTTGTGGAAAGGGGGATTTTCCTGAATTAAATTTCGACAAGACTAACCTAAATGCTTTTTTTATGTGACAACTCTTGTAAAAGCCCAACAGGGGGAGCTGTAATCTAAATTTTACAAGTGTTTTTTTCCTCTTCTGTGGCACATTCCCACCAGAATTCTTTCTATTACTACAGCAGAAGTGGCATTACACCTAAGATCACATTTAGGGGGTTGGAAATGGACTGAAACTATTTTCTAATTTAAATCAACTAATAAGTGGAGGATGCCCAGACTACCAAACCAGTAATTTCACAACGTGTTTGAGCCAGCACAAGAAGGTACCACAAAGGAGGAATTTTCTCACACTCCTCCTGCCCTCCACCTCCTAACCGTGTGATGACAAACAGACCTGAGGCCATTTGTTCAACCAAAACTGATCCAGATTAAAAATCAAATGAGTTGTTGTTATTGTGAGGATTAGCTCTAGCCCAGACATGTTCCCCAGTTGGTTTCAGGCAGATTCAGCGTGGGGAAGAATGAGGGGCAAGCAGACCAACAGCTCAAGCTCAGCTGTCAGCAGGCAACCACGACCCTTTGACTGCAAATCCATCATTACTTCTAAACAGGCACGAGCAAGGACTGAAGCAGGCAGCCCAGCTGCCAGCCGTACTCCTGTCACTAGCCACCTTACTGGCAACTCAGGCACACGTGGCTGCTTCACACAGTGAATCAGATCAGGAAAGCAGCTGGGCTGGCAGCCAGCCACTGAGAGTAAGGAGATGACAGGTCCTTTTTCAGCCAGATATGTTTTCCGAGTACTGCTTGCAGTCAGTAGAAAAAAAAAAAACCTTCTTGGTCTCTTTTGAATTTATAGCAAAACCCCCTTGCAGAACAGGATGCACAGAAACCACAGGATTCATATCCCTTTTCTGATACCTCTGCCTGACTACACTGAGCTCAGTCAGTGTAAAGTTTTGGCTACTTCTGAAACACTATAAATGTGAGCAACATTCAGATCAAGAGCATGGTTATTGCAGGTGCTGATGCCGTCTGAAAAAAATCACTCTGTGGTTTAAGATGGCTAAATCTGGACAGTCCTGAAACAAGTGGTCTTTAGGTTTCTCACAAATAGGCAAGCCAGTATTTCCTGCCCTGTTTATCTTCATTAAGCAGGTTTAGTCATAATGGGAAAAATTGCTTATGGTCACAGAGGAAGTACTTGCAAGTCCCAAAAACACATTTTGCATTCCTGTTAGACTGCAGCTGTCCACTTATTAACTATGCTAGGCCACTTAATCTACTGTAACTGTTAGGGTCCAAAATTTCACCTCAGTATTGCGCGATCCTTCATACGTAGAAAACTACAAAGTCCTCCAATTAACATTTAATACCGGTTCAAATTCCACACTTGCCTAGGTAAACTTAGACCATGGGATGGTGTCAACATTTCTTGCAGGCACTAACCTGATGGACACAAATATTACACTTGTCACAAAACACCATGTCATTCCCATCTTCACTGTCGGGGGACCGGCACACATCACAGATGACATCTTCATCATATTCGATACCCAACCCCTCTTCAGTCTCAATGGCATGATTCATATTCTCATGACAGTGCCGTTCCAGCACTTCAATTGTCTTTTCCATTGTGTTTTCATCCAGGGGCCCACATCCTAAAACACCAAAAAGGAGACAGTCAGGTGCTTCTGATTAGTCAGAGAAACAGGAAGAGAAAAAGGACAACTTCTAGCAACTACTGTAGTAGACACAGAATCTAAAAATGAAAGAAAAATAGAAAAGCTTTTTCACTCACAGTCTAAGTGTAGCATTGTTTTATAAATATAAGCAGAACTACTACTGCAGTAAAAGTTTAAATTGTACATAAACCACAAAATCAAACCTTGAAGAAAACACCACAACATAAAAGACAGACAGCAGTTGCTGTAACTGGTAGAGACTCCCATACAGCCCTTCCTGCACCTCCATCACTTTAAGAAACACTAACGACATCCAAAACCCACACACTAAGTTCTTCTGAAGGCTAACTCCCTAAGAAATAAAACTTACCAAGAATACTTCATATCTTATAACAATACAGAAGTCGCACCACCCAGTGCTATCTAGTACACTACTTGAGTGATCAAAGTATGACAGTTATGAAAAGTGCTTCTATTTTTTTGGTCACATTTTTAAAAATAGAATAGCAGATAAATATACTGTTGCAATCCATACTATCTGTTCACTTGAACACTAGACATGCTATATACACTCACCAGTAATCAAACTTAGCATAACCAGGACCACTTAGAAAGGATTTGCTGTGAGACTGGTCCTCGGCTTGCAGTTTCAGGACATACGCTGAGGAAGAAACCCTACAATGCTCATAGCTACAAGAAATCTCCCAACTGCACCTTATGAAAATATCCGTCAAAAATAACAATGATGCTCACAGCACACAATTTACTCAGATTTTTGAATGCTGGGACATTCATGAACCATTGATAGCAGAGGCTAATATTATAACTAAGGCTACTAATTCTGAATCCTCATTACAAACAATAAACATGGAGACAGAAAAGATAAATGAATGCGGTTAAAAAGTGCCTTCTGCTCTTAAACTGTTCTCTCTCACGCCCCAGTATTTTCTCACTTCCAGAATTAAAAGAATTACAGAATCATTCAGGTGGGAAGGGTCCTTTAGAGGGCTTCAGCCCAGTCCCTGGCTCCAAGCAGAGTCAACAGTAAATCCAGCAAAGGTTGTTGCTCAAGAGATATGTCTAGTCAGATCTTGAAAATCTCCATGGACGGAGATTTGCCCCACCGAAAAGCTGACAGCTTTTGCTAACAGCATTCCTGTATGCCTGGGAAGTTTGTCCTGGCTTTTACTTCTTACATCCACATCCTTCCATACTTCAGAGGTGCCTCCCAGAACCACCTATCAGTTACCTGAATAAGTCCAGGACCAGAAAAACTACTTCCTCTCCTCACTCCCCTCAGGATCTCAGTCACCACTATTTTATAGCTATTACAGATAACACTGCAGTTGATTATCACATCACTACAGATTCTTCCTTTTTTAGTAACAGCAAATCCAGGTGATGTAAAATATTTCCCTCTTTTGTCTACCTGTCCTTCCTAAAAGATCTGCAATCACCCATGGAAGAATATTAGACATATAGGTTATTACACCATAGTTTGGTTATTCTAGTGATAATTCCAAGGTTATTTTACATAGCTCACTCCTGCTCATAGCCCTCTATACCAACAACTTGCACGGAAAAAGAATGTTTACTTAGCTGATTCTAAATGAGCTAACAAGTGTGAAACTCAATTACTCTATTGAGAACCCAGCATGCAAGCTCCTCAGAACTCTGAGTTTGTAGCAATAATGCGTTCAAATTGAAGAAATTAAAACATCTGCTTTCCTTAAAAAAAACCTTTAACTTTTGAAGTCTTAACTTCACCTGGTGTGGGCTTTTTCCCTCCCGCTTCAATCTGCAGAAGTTGCACATGATTTTGGATGCAAAGAAGTTTTTAAGCCCAACAGGTAAAATATAAAACATTAACAGATCAAGCAAGAAATTTACTTTAAGCATTTTTACCTCCTGTTTTTCTTAGCATTTGCATTCAATTCTCATTCAGCAATGGTTAAAAGATCTCACAAGCAGACTACAATTCGAACAACAGAAATTAAGGGCTGCTTTTAAAATTAGAACGTGTTGTGAAATTACCCATTTCTGTAAGCTCTTCATTTAGCTCCTGAAGCCAAAAGATGTCCATGTCATCCAAGTCATAGCGGCACACAGACTCTGCTAATTCCAAAATGTTGATGTAACCTGGTTCTGTGGGCTCTTGGCTGGAACAGTGGATGTATTTCCTCGGTCGTGTATACAGTACTTCTTTCACTTTTTCTGCTACAACCCTAGAGTGAAAATAAAACAAGAAATAGTTACAGCTTTTTAAGACCTACCCTCAAAAGACAGGAAATATTGGCTATAAGTGCAAAGAAACCTGGTGTTTCACAGATTTTAAACTATTCAGTAAGTGTAGCCAGGCTAAGGAGACAAGATTCTGTAAATGTCATTTTTTTCCCACAAAATGTTCTAAGGTTTGCTACAAACACAGAATCCTTTTTAAAATGTAAGCCTGTGCATATGATTTTCAATTTAACAAATGCTACTATTGCAATGAAGCAAGTGTTTCTGAAACCCACAGAAAGTATTATCACAAAACCCCTACAATCTTTGTTCTATATTCCTCCTAAATGATAGAAGGAAATCTCACCAACTGATTTCTTGAAAATACCAGCTTTTTCATGAAAGCTAATTTATTCTACTGTAGTGTCTGTGTGTGTGGGAAAAATCCTTGGTCTCCATTTGGGATACACAGTCTACACTTCTTTTGTAAATAATGCTTTATCCACATTACAATCCATTATTTTTGCTATGCAAGAAACATCATGATGCCAAGTAAAAATGTAAAGGGGAAAGTAAATCATCTAAGAAACAAGGCAGAAAAATATTTGTATTCTCAATCTCTCAATTATTCTCAGAGATAAAACTCAGTGTTTGACTAGTTTGATTTCGGCATGCAAAAAATAAACTAGACAAGGTCAATCTTTCTCTGAATTCAATGTAAAAGGCCCTATATAATGAAAGGAATCCAGAGAGATACGGAATGGAGTGGTGCCATGCAAGAGCAGCTCTGCATGATATCTGGAGCTAACCCTCCACAGGACAAGGAAAAGAGAAAAACTGTGGAAAATAAGGCAGTAAAGAGGACGAAGCAGCAGTCAAGCTGTATCCCACATAATTCTTACTGGACAATGTGGGCTGTCAATGTTAATACAAACAATGTTCTTCTGCCATTCTTCCTCCCCCTTCACCCTGCTCATTTTTTCCTCTCATTCCCTTGTGAGCTTTTCTTTTCTCTAGTCCAGCCAAATCTATAGCAATTTTTTCCTCTAATATAATACTGCTAGTATGAGATGCAATATATTTATTTTTAATAACTTGGTACTGACAATGGCCTCAGTGGAAATTAAATTATGATGGCATCAGCGCTTTCACTGGACAATTCATTCATCTTTGTCTTGAAGACCATGCTGGCAATAACATTTCTATGTTGAAACATGCACAGAAGGGTTGCAGGTTTACATTGATATGTTTTCCTAGTCTAGGTACAGTGTGAGAGAACAAAAAATTATTAATCTATCTCCTGAAACTGAGATTACTGAACTTCTACAACGTTAAGGAGCCACTTGTGGTGAGAGAAGGCAGAAAGTGTTAAAGCTTTGGCAACAATAGCCTAAATTAAATTATATGAACAAATGAGTAACTTTAGCAGGTCTCAGTAACTACTGCATGCCTAGTGCTCTATATTGTCAAGCTTTATAGGGAAACCTTTTAAGTAACATGTACAAGATATGGGTTTATTTGTAATTTATTCAACTCACCTTACTCAAATGAAAAAAGAGCTTTTAATCTGGAAAAAGAGATCTTTTTAAATTCACAATGTAGATACTATAAAGTGCACAGACGGAACAAGATCTGTGGCTGAAGTGCCACAGACATGTTTTCCAAACTGGCACTTGTGTGGTTTAAGAACATGTCTGAAGGCTGCTGCATTGAAGATTTAAATATAACAACAGAGAAAAGCTGACTGCATTTGGACAATCTGCTTTTGAGAGACCATCTCCTCTGAGTTGACGTTTTGTGCACATGATCTGTGTCTGATCACCATTACCTGAGAGAAGGCTGTGGAATAGTTTCGGGACTGGCTGGAACTTGAACCCCTTTCTCCCATTCTTGTTTCCACGTGTCCGCAAAGACATAGTATTCATCAGGGTTGACATGGTGAGAATCTGGTAGTTTCATGGCACTAATGAGATCCTTGCGGAACACCTGCAGGAAACACGAGAGGGAAAAGAGTGATTTGAGAAAGAGCATTGTGCTAAAGAAAGCAGTATGCATTTTTTTAATCTACGTAGAAACAATGAACATACTTGACAATTTTTTTAGAGAGTACCAGCACAAACAGGTCAATTTGAAACTACCTACATTATTAACTCTAAGCATATTAGGTGCAGTATGACAAGAAGTTTATGCTAATTCAAAACCATGCTCCTGCCCGACAGCTAATCAGAAGGAAGAAGGCTGTAACAGGTAACCAGGAAAAGGGGAAAGGATGCCTACATCTTAGTCAAGACTCTTCACCCTATCACTTTCAATTAACTTATCCTACTTGCCAGACTGTAGGCTTTAGCCCAACTTACTTACAAGGTAGCATATCCTTTTCTTTCATTCAGTTTAGCTACTTTAAACTGTCATATTCATCACGGGCTACGAGCAGTTGCCATGGTAAAACTGATGCACAGACACTTGTTCATTTATTAAAACCACTTGAAGTTTTAGTGGTTGGGATCTCCAAGATCAAAGATGAAAAGCTGCCTTTGCTGAAACATGAAACCTGTGTTGCTCTGTGCCTAAGCAGTCCCAGTGCAGGCAGAGCGACACAACCCAGCTCCAGTATCCTTTAGCAAACCTGTACAACGAGACGCCACCCTCAAACAAAGCAAACCCCCCAGTGACAAATCTCCAGCCATAACATTGGACTCTTGTCTCATGAGGATTAAGTTTTTACAAGCACATAAACATGATTATCTGTCATTTCAAGACTTATTTAGTGGTCTGCCTACTACAGGTGCATACGATTTAACTAGAGGGCATATGCATCCTTTGTGGGTTTTTGATTTTTTTCCTCCACTGCTACCCTGCACGAGCTTAATGTTGATAAAAGCAAAAGAGTGACTGTGGCTTGGTGTTAGGGAGACATCACAACTAATTAACTGAATTATCGTAATGAGAAATCATATCCTCCAAGGGCAATAAAATGAAATGGAAAATATCCCTGCAATAAGCTGTGACAGGTTGAACTCTCTTCTTACTAATTCAGTTTTATAGCCAGAAGAGTAATAAAATAATCTCAGAGCCAAATATCTTCGTGTACCCTTTTCAATTTGACAGCACCAGACCGGTTATGCCTACTGCAAAAATTCTCAGCTGTTCTTTGAAATCATCAAGTAAATATTTTTTTAAAAAGGCTCTGTACTAAAAACAGGTATTGAAATAGGCTGGTGGTGACCTGGAACTCAGTGTTACTTCATTATCTCCTACATCTCACATAGGCTGCCAGGAGAGCAAGCTGACCAAGAGAACTCAAAAATCACAGACTCAAGGCTCTCATATTTGGTACTAATGTGTTATCTGCCTTGGTTCATAATAGACTGTTCACTGCTGCCTTCTGTGTAAAACTCAGGTACTTAGGAGACCTGTATTACAATCTGAATCACAAGAGCAAATGTATTAGGACTACAAGAATCCTTTTTTTTTTCAAGCAATATGTCTACACACCAAAAATAAAACATGAAATTATTTATGCCACTTAAAAGGCATCTTACTTTTCTATGTTACAGGTACAGAGCCATGATTATGAGAAACACTAACGTGGCACAATTCCAAAGAACACCAGAAGGAAAAAAAACAGTCTGATAAATGGGAAGTGCAATGACTGGTTTAGTTATCAGAAAAGATATTCCTCAGAACTTATCTGAGCTAAGTGCTTTACAAACTACCTTTTAAGCCACTGACAGAATATAGAAGTGGAGTACTTCATATCAAATCTACTATTTTTTAAACACTACATGAAAAGTGCTATTGAAGGCGCCAGTATTCTAACTACACTGCTTAGCAGCAAGTCTTCTGATCATCCATTATGTATGTGAACTGTATCATCTCTATTTTTAGAGCACAAACTCCCTGGAGCATGGACTTCTTTTGGGTTTTTTTGACTGTTGTACAGTAGTGACCACACCATCATGACACCGCAATATTAAGTTTTCCACTTCAAATTTATAAAATTTACAATACATGAACCACTTAAGGTCAAAAATTTAACCATTAAACACATAACTGCTTATACCTTAAAGGACCCAAAAACTCAACTTAGGCTTCCTAAGAATTGCCTACCCGTACTTGTGACAAGTCCAATTGAAAATTTCTTGCAGACACTTGGAATCAGCACAATCTCTAGCTCTCATCATTCATCATTTCTTCACATGTGGCCAAGCAGGATCTTCCAACAGTAAAATACTCTCACAAGACAATGTATGAGAATACTCACTCTGTATTTCCTTTGTTGTGGAAGTAAATCAAAACACTCAGGAGACCCAAAAGAGTTATCTGACAAATCAAGTAAATTATACTTCAGCAGTCAGCCTCAAGGCTGTGAACTAAGCCATCTACACAAAGAGCAGACACACACTTTAGAATTTAGATAGCCAGCTTTTCCTCGTGGTTGGTTTTTTTTTGGACAGTTCTTTGAAAACAATGCAGCTCCTTTACTGTGCACACAGAACAGCTAGTCCACTCCACAGCTCGTACTCTCCTCTTGGCAAGGACCACCTTCACTTCCAGTGAGGCCATGAAATGTGGTTGTCATTCAGTCACTCAAAAGCAGTTCTACTTCTTACCATAACAAAAGCACAAACCTTCAACTTTAATACCTGTAATATCACACATATTGAAAATACCTAAAAAATGAACACGCCAAGTCTACCTAATAAGGTATTTCCATTCAGACACATCACTCCTCAAGAGCAGACTCAGCTCTTTACCAGGACAGAGAAGAGCCTTGCAGAGCTGAGCTACAACCAAGCACAGCTAGCAGAGCCAGCTGCATACACACAGAAGTGGGAAACACCCCACCACTGTGAGCATTCCACTGTAGTTACAGTTGTGACAGTGAGATTTTTTTAAAAATACTTTTAGCAATTGAAAGCATGAAAAGTCAGAGTTTTAGCCTTGCCTACCATTCAAGACTGCTTGGTCTGAACTTGCCATTTCATTTTGCTGCCAGGAATTTTTAGTTTCAGCTGACAACAGTGCAGCACTCAGTGAATGACATCAATCAGAAATGTGTTTGCTTAAGTCATCATTGTCATCATCATCTAATCTTAACCATTTCAACGAGAACTTCTATTACTTATTTCATGCTTTAGAACTGAGGCTTAAATCTAGAAGAGAAGACCTTGCCATTTAGACAAGATTGGCTTTTTGCTAAGCAGTAAAAGTCTGCCTGGATTTGCTGAGGAAATGAGAACTTCCTTGTCACCTCTACAGAGACACACTGCTGTCTCTAAAGCCTCTGAAAGCTAAATTCAACAAAAATTTTCCAGAAATATGCTCCCCCCCACAGCACTAACACACCAAGCAACAATGATGATCATGGAGCTGTGCAATGAAGATACGGTCCATATGTTTTATTTGTTTTTCAGACTTCTGAGTCCTATTTGGAAATTATGTTAGAAGAGTATGTGCAAGGAAAATTAACTTCTTAGAATCCATTTATAAATGCTTCACCAAAAGCAGTCTGACTTGAACTCAAACTCCTTCTGGAAGCACTCTATAAAAATCCAACATATAATCTTCCTCATAGGACCCTGCTGTGCTTACTCTGTGAATAAATCAAGACTATGAAACAAAGAACGCTATTTATAGCGTGAAGTATCCTTATCCACTAAAGATCTCAGAGAGAATACAAGTAAAGCTGTAGGGAATTACAGTAAAATACTAGCATTGAAAACAAGAGAACGGGTCTTGATGGTACAACAGCCTCCTACAAACCCTACCTTGAGCAATTCAAACATAAGATCTGCACACACTGTCAGGCACCTTTTGCTCATGACTACTGCAAAATTGAAACCACATTAAGAGAAGAAAAAAATATGAGTCAAGTACCTTTTCCAATACCCCTCTGCAAGTTTTTACTGAAGCTGACTGATGTCACTACTCATTCACCTTGTCTTGCCCAAATGCATACGTAAGGAAAAATACATGGATTGTGCCATCTTTTAAAAATGAAAAGAAAACTTGTATTTCTTCCTGTGACACTGAGCTTTCCTGTCCTCTGACCAACTGCTTACAAACTCCCAGTAAGGATAAGCCACTTGCCACGGACATCTAGGCCACGACTAGGAACCACACCTCCAAGGCTTAAGTAATGATGCGTTAATTACTCTGTTGTTACAATCAAAGCACGACTCCTGGATTGCTTCTAATTGCTTCAGTCCTGAGGCTTTCCCTGCACCCAGCAGAACCCCCAGCGAGTCAGCAACAGGTGTTTTCAGTTCCTCATGCCCACTGCTTAGGGACCAAGAAGGCTGACTACTCCAGAAACAGTAAAGTGTGAATTACACATGAGTTTTTTAACATGTTGAGGGTCAAATCATCTTTTTTTATTCTCCTTCTAAAGGATCTATTAACTTTTTATTCCTGTAAGCACTTGCAAGCATTAAAGCTTAGTCTACTATTGTAACTCTGAAGTACAGGTCCTCGGCAAAATTGTAACACATAGAGCAGCGGGTTTACACCTCAAATCACCTTTTAAATAACAAAAGTTAAGTTCTAATATAACCTATTACAAGTGTAATATAGCAACATTGTATCTGAGCAGAGTTCAATCTTTGTACGGATGTTTTACACTTTGTGCAAGAGACTGCCCATTTACAGGAGATGAAGCTCCAAAAACTGAATTTGGTGGGGTCATCCTGGAGAGGTAAAGTTTTTTCTTGTTAATACATTAAAATCTGGACATGAAGTTTCAGAAATAAGGCACCTTACTACAGAGAAGTGTGGAAACTTAAGAAAGGTTTGTTTAGGTTTTATGTTGGTTGAGGGGGTTTTGGCAACAAAGTAAATAAAAAGCAACAAAATTTTAAAATGGAAATGAAATTACAGTTCCAGGCACATATACCAACTGGACTGAAAAACTTCAAAATGTTAAAAAAAGCTGTGATGGACAGGAATAAGTGTAGCATTAAATTTGTACTTCTCAAACATTCACACAATAGGGACAAGCAATGCCGTAAATCCTAATGTTAAAATCCCTACTCCCTAAAACTACTTTTATGGATTATCCAGGACTCAAGCAAATGAAATATTGTACTTTTCTTTTAAGTAGCCATGAATCTCCCTAGCCTCCTTTTACAAGCATGTAGAGGAAAAGCCAGGAAATTGGATACTAAATCAACCCTACCTAACATCATGTCTCTGACAGTATCTCATGAGCCAGAAGAATGTGCAAGAACATGTCAAGTTTCCTTCTGCTTGCTAATCAGACATAAGCTTTGGATTTTGGGATTAATCCTAACAATCAATTTTTAAAGTGGGTATTAATTTATACAGATATTTAGAAAAATCTGTACTTGCTATCATCTGTCCAATTCCTTTTTTAATCTTGTTTAATTCATAGTCTCAACAACCTCCTGTAGCAGACGAAATTCACAGTCTAATTACATGATGCATGGAAAGGATATCCTTTTAATTGCTACAGATTTTCTAACTTTTGGCCTCATTTATCAAATCCTGCCCTGCCTCCCCCCACCAACGCCTTTCCTCCCAAGTTCCTCCATCACAAGGACAGGCAGGACTGAAGCTCTGTAGCTCTGCTGTTTCCAGACCATTCATACTTTACAGTTATGCCTGCTCATTCACTTCAAAGATAAAATAGCTCACCCTTTCACATGCAAGCTCTTCCACACCCTTCTGCATTTGGGTCACCTCTTCCTAAAGAGTTCAAATAGCCTGAGACAGTATCTCAAAATAACCAGTGAGTTTGAACCTCTCACTTACATAAAAGTATTGCAATTTATTTTTTTAAAATTGACTAATCCAATCAGGCTAAAAAGCAGCTCATGGATAAGGCATGTTCGCCAGAGGTCCTGAGAAGACTGTACACAAGTTAGTTCAAAGTTTTCTAAGCTAAGCATACACAAAAAAAGTAGCAGTCTCTTATTCTGCATGGTACATGCAAAGCAATATGATTTAAACATGTCATCCATTCATTCACAGACCAAAGACAACCACTTTCAAACTGCAAAAAGAATCCATTTCCTGCCAAGAGTCTAGTCTTCCAGGGTGCTCCTCAGAATCAAGACGTATGATTTCTGTGGTAGTTAAATGCCACTAAAAAGAGTTTCACATACCCAAGTAATGAAAGCAGACCATTTACTTCTGGAAGACAAGCTGCATTTCACATGATAACACAGCTGTCACAAACGGCAATGAGGGATTAAAAACTACTCTTGCTGTGAGATTCAGAACCCCATCTGCAATGAGAGGTAAAATACTGGCATCTTACATGGGAAGGGTTTAAAATAAAAGCACAATACTACTTCTTTACAGCTTCAAGAGGGAGACAGGACCGAAAAAAAAAGTATGAACTGGAGTGTCATTAAGATCTCTTACACTTTTGTGACCCCACTAGCATAAGGGAGAAGAAATGGTCAGTCAATCATAAAAGTCCAGCTAATAGGTTTTCCCTGCAAAAATGATTCCCATTACTCTGCCATCATTTTCTGCTGCAGCTTTCATAGAGACAGGAAACTGTTAAGTAGAGGCCTCATGCTGAGCCAGACATCCAAATGCCTCCTATCCTGCTACTCCTACACAGTCTACTGCTTAGGCTTGCAAGCCCCCCCCCAGTCTACATTTTAATACACTGAGGAGCAACATCACAAATGGCATGTGGTCAACATCTTCATATAAAGGTCTCAAAAATGACTATGACTTTATACTATTGGTGTGCCTGTAACTTTAACAAAACTTATTTATTCAAAGTAAGCGCTAAAGGTAACTGGATAACAAAATTTTTAAGTCACCATCTCATTACTTAGTGATAGATTGTAATCCAATAAAGAGATGCAGCCTTGCTTTTGACATTACGCAGAGAAGCACCATGGTCTGCAGAAGCATCATTACATATATATATGTACATACATATAGCCTTATTTTCACCTTCTTCTCCAAGGAGGAGATTGGAGTAAGTGGATGCCAGGTCCAACCCAGTAACATCCCTTCTGGATATGCTTTAGGCTCTGGGGAACAGTCTTTGACATTTGCACTGTAACACTGCACTTTTTGGCCTGGCAGTAACACCAGATGACCTCGTGCCCCACTGAGGCCATTCCCACACCCATCTCGATTCTAAAGCACCTGGAGGCAATTCAAGGCAGAGTGGTCCTCAGCTGCAGCCAGCTGTCACTTTTTAGGGCCAAGCACAAGACCATGGCATATACAGACAAGTCCTGTGAAGCAAGTGACACATACACTCACCACTTGCTTGTTGGTCAGAGTACCAAACACAAGCTTTTATTTGGAGAGGAAACCTCGGTACTCGGGTTGGGCTGGTTATGGCTGAGGAAGGGGGAAAAAGCCTATGTATTCATATGCAATTTAATTGAAAAGGCCAGGCTTGCTGGCATGAAAGAAAAATTAATGTATGAAGACCATGAACAAAAATATTCCCAAACAGCTATTTATAGCTTTGACCTTCTAGATTTTCTGCATCACTAACTCAAGAAACAGCTTGCTGCCTGGCAAGCAGAGGTGAATGAAAGGAGAGCAGCGCCAACTTGTTAAAGAGAGGCCTTGCTAAAGATGCTGTCAGCCTGAACTTTTTAATTTCTATCTAATAGATATTAACACAGCTATTACTACAAAAAGCTTGTGGGATTACAACATGAGTTTTGGGATGGTGTGTAGTGGGGTCCCTTTTCGGTCTTCGCTTTACACCCTTGTTACCACTTGGTGCATAAATAGTCAATTCAATGCTCTGCTGACAACAGCGTTTGATGCAATACACTCTCCAGCATAGGCTTTTCAAGGGGTTGGAAGGAGTGCTTGCTGATAGCCACAAGTCTTATAAGGAACAAGGGGTACAGATTATTACTGTCACCTTCCCTTCCATTTGTTTCCTCAGAGGACTTTTTTTTTAAGGGTTTTTTTAAATATTGTAGGCAGGACACTCCTCCAGAAGAGGACATATTCTAAAGTTTGAGATTTCTTTCTTTCTCTCTTTTTTTTTTTTTCCTGGGAGGTGGATCTTAAATGAAAGATGACAAAGAGATTCCAGTATTACTGAAAGGATTATGTTACGAAATACACTTTCTAAATTTCAAATGTGTATTCCAGATTTTGTTCTCCGAAATTTCTTATTTCCAGGCATTAAAGGGATCAAGATTCTGTCTTGGAACAGAAGAATAGAAAGTATCAAAGATGATCTCAAAAGGAGGAACTGAAAACACTACTAATTTTAATTGCTAGAAGGTATGTAAAGTGAACATTTTATGCTACATGCATGGACCGCATCATAATTATTGTTTATAAGGTACATATGCACACAGAGACAGAAAGCAGCATATTCAAAGAAAACTGTAACAGGACAATGCCTAAGATGAAGAGATACAAGAAGAAAGCTGGATGGCTGGGTAGAAAGGAACGATGGGTAAGGGACTAGCACTGAGGTGTATCTGAAACAGCAAGAAGTCTGGCAGTGTATGTGCTTCAATTCCCATTTGCATAGCTTGGCTAGTAACAAAGCCACTGCCTAGGCACACACGAGCAACACTTACAAGACCTCAGTAGCCATAAGTTCTTTTAAGATTAAAATTTTTACAGAGCCATAATTCTCATACCGAACATTTTAAAGATAAAAAGCACGGTAGGCTTTTCTTAACCTTCTTGGTGGTGCAAATAAAACACTATGGAGCTAGTTCTAGCCAATTTTGCCTTTCTGAAACACTCACGTAAGATTGTACTTTAGAAATGAATCAGAGAGTTTTCTTCAATTAACCTGTAAAAAAAATTAAGCTTCCAAAGAAAGGACATGTTCTGTATCATTTTCCTTGTTCTTACCAAACCAAGCCCATCTAGTTAGCAGCATTTAGAAAAGAAGAATGAAGTATGTTTGCTGAATAGGTTTCACTATATGAGCACAATCTATATACAGTTCATGCAACCTTGCACAGCAGTACCCACACAGGTAGAAAGCTTCTGGTATAGTACACAAAATAATAATTTCTGGGACTTAACTTTAAATTCTACAGAAACAAAGTGGATTTTGTCAGTCTTTATTCAGCAACCTCAGGCACCAACAGTTATACTAAAATTTTGAAGGACTCCTTCAGAGGGAATGTGACAACAAGTAAGGGGAATTAGCTACAAGAAATACTTATCCTATTTGTAGTTAGTGTCTGACTTCAGCCCTTAAGAAAGCAAGCATAAAATCTGGAGAAGGCAGCCAAGAAATCTTCCACAAAGAGAGCCTACCAGTGGAATAGCTAACAGGAGGTCTTTGAGCACTGCACTGCGCATAAATGCAAATTTATTAAATGGGTCAACACAGGTCCAGTGACAGGGGTGATAGTTGTTGGGGTTCTTACAGGTGGAGATGGCAGAGCAAAAAGAAACTTTACTGAAAGTAAAAAGTCAAAGTAAAAAACAAAGTAGCAGAAGCTGAGCCAGCACTACTTATACATATCCTGCCCACTTAAGTGTCTTGCTGTTTCATCCTAAAGCAGAAAGAAAGTATTCTTCCCAAACACAGACACACGAACCATTTTTCTGTGCCATGTTCTCAATCATAAGACCATTCCATCTTTTGCCACTTTCAAAATGATACTAAATTTCAGGGGAAGAATGAACTATATGTTACTGTCTGTAAATGCCATAAGTCATTTTGGACATCAAACACCAGAGCTCCTATAATATTCACACAGTGGGGGAAATACAGGTTCACAGAGACTTTGACAGGTGACAAAAGCAGTCACCAGCACTAGGTTCAAATCTCACTACTTCAAGGCTTAGAAACATGAAAATGACATGACTAAAAACTACCAGTAATGAACCTTTGTCCCCAGTTCTTACCTCAGCAGGCTTCTTTTGTTCATTTGCTGGTGTTTTTGACTTGCTCCTGTATTTAGAACAAGAGGAAAAGGAAGTGGAAGGACCTGTTAAAATAAAATAAAAAAAAAGAAATAAAAAAGGACCATTATAGCTCAGTTCAATTCATTTAATTTTTTCAGTAAAACACAAGGCATTCCAATCTCTTGAATTATAATTTTTTGACAAGACGTGGGCAAAAAAACTCTTAGGCAGTCTGTAGGCTTAATTACAGCTCCTCCTGTTCCACTTGTTCTTTATAAAACCACAGCAAACTGAGTTTATGGGTACATTCTGCTCTGCCCAATACAAGCAAGAGTAAACAGAAACAGGCAGGCAGACTGCTTTCCTTCATTTAGTACCCTTCTAACAAAGTGGAAGGAGGAGCAACAAAGAGGAGAGAGTTTGCAACTACTCAAAACAACCGCTAAAGAACAAAACCATTATAAAGTGTGCTGATGAGAAATGCAAAAAACCAGCGGGATATCTAGACGTTTCTGGCAAAATGTTATTTCAGTAGAGGATCCATTGATGACTCGCAGGGAATATGACAATGAATCATCATTATGTATGGAGCTGTTGGATAGGCCCAGGTCTATAAGAAACAAACAAGACCCCGCCATACAGGGTTGCTCTGCTTTGGGTTTTTTGCAGATACAAAGGGAAGATCTTCAGGTAGATTTGTGCCAAGGAACACTTAAAATGTAACTTTACTAAATTGTTTAACAGACTAAAGTGAAATAGATCAAGAACAAGTAGAAGATAATGTAACAATCAATAGACTGATTATAACTCTAACATATCAATGCTTTAATAGCTTGCCACCCCCACCTATTTTAAAGTTGAGGCTCTGCACAAGACAAGACAGCAGGATTCTTTTTAAACAATAATTACAGAATAGGATCCTGGACAGTAAAATTTCACTTGAATTACAAATTTCTCCTTGGCAACTCTGAATGGCAAGATATACAAGTTTCTCTTGAAATTCTACATAGACTCAAAATAACCCTTAGATTTGTAAGATCATTTGCCTCATTTTCCTCCTGTAACACAATTCAGAACACCAAAGACCACAAATGCAAAAAGAAATCAAGCAAAAAACGTTTGGGTGTTTGTTTTTTGTTTTTTTTTTTTTTTAAGTTACAAGAGGTGAAACGGTTTTCCCTCAAACCACAGAAGGAAACCACAAGGGGGTGACAGACCAAAGAAAAACTAGCAGGTATTACTTACTCTCATTGTCTGAACTGTCACTGGTGCTTAGATGCCTGTGGCGTTTCATCCTGACGCATCCTAAAGAGAAAAAAAAAGTTGATGGTAACCATTCTACCAGAAAACCACCGGCTGCTGGCTGACGCCAAGTAGTTCTTCACACTAAAGGCAAAGCTCCTCTGAAGAGCTCTCAGGCATAGAAATAATCCCAGTTCAGTCACAATGTTTCACTTCTGCAAGCAACTACTAGACGATGGTATTATTTGTGTAACTGAGCACCCTCAAAACGAGCATGCCTCTGCTGGGCAGAGCTTGCTTTTAATTTTGCAGAAAGAAGTGCAACCTGCCAGCTGATTCCCGGCAGGGCGTGAGCCACGCTCTGCTCTCGGAGGAGACTCAATGTCCCATCTGTTCAGCTGGAGGAAGAGTTGCCATGGTGGCAGTCACTAGCTGAGAGACGGGTGGAGGCCAGGAAATAAGGTGGATGCACAGCAAGGCAAGGATTTAGAAATATAACCCACCTTAAAAAGCAAACCAAAAAAAACACAAACCAAACCAAACACAAACCACAAAAAAACCCCCTAAGGCATCCATGCAAAGCAAAAGGCAGATTTTAAATAGGGACAATCATAGAAAATAGTGACTGATGCCATTTAATTTAATCATCTGATTATCATTTAGTTCACAAGAAATGTGGTTTTCAGAAGTTTGGGAAGTGATCAACAGTATCACTGAGAAATATTTCCGTGGCACATTTCAGCTGCATTAAAAAAAAGATACTGAAATCTGAAATTCATTTTTGAACATGTAATGTATTGCTCCCTCAAAAAAGAGTGGGGAAGAAGACATTTCTGCACCTCTACTTAATAAAACAAAAATCAAAAAAGCAATCAGTTATATATACTCTAAACAAGTGCCAACAGAAATCCACATACATTCTTATCAGTCCTGCCATTTGATAATATTCTACATTACATTTGTTAAGTAAGGTTCAATAACTGTTTACAATTAATTGCAGTAAAAACACCTCTGTTTTTAATAGTTTGAATGAGAAAACCAATAGACAAAAGAAGTAGAAAATTATTCTGCAAGAATAGATGAGAACTCTATCTTCTTTGTTTGTTTTTAAGCAGAAGATGCACACAAGTAGGTTACAGACAGCTGAACCTGAAATGCCTGCAGGACTGAGTGCCAGTCTGGCCACACCTGAAATGTAAGCAGCTTCACTTCTTAAACATAACCACATGCCATGAAAAAAGCAACACAGCTAAATATCCCATTTGGTAAAACCTCCACATTAGTTACTGTACAATGGGTCTTGAGATTATACAAATACCATGGGATAAACAAGATTTTCAGATAAGAGAAGCCTGCCCAGAAGGCTTTGAAGAAATCGAAATTGAATTGTTTGCAGCAAAAGTGTTTAATTTAGTGGAAAATTTCAGCAGTCTTTGTATTTAAGAGAGTGAGTTTGCAGAATTTAAATGCAATGATCACTCAAAGTTTAAACCAATCCTCTTGACCTGTTATAAAAAAGACATTGCCCACACTCCTGAAAGCTGAAAAAGGAAGCAATACATGCAGTTTTCAAGGAAGCAGATACAGAACTTCTGAATCAGGTATTTAAGCTGGAGGAGAAGACAGACAGAGAGAGGACTTTGAATGAGACATCAAAAGATGTCATTTGCACCACTTAAGCAAGATATAAAATTCCATTACATAACCATTATTTTCACATCAATTCACCTTCTCACAGCTCAGGCAACACAGGGGAGGCAAGGCAGCCATGCTGTATATGAACACCACTGTCCAAGAAAAGAGTGACACTAAAAATGAAAAGCCTAAAACACCACAGGACTTCACTTCCAGCTAGCAATGTAAGGTGGCTTGTGCAGATGAAGAAACTTCCATGAATCTATTGGACAAAAGCTGTTTTACAGGTAGAAGGCACTTGGGTCAGAAGGACTTGTCTTTGTACGTGTTTTGGGGGCACCAGACTTGAAGTTTACTGCAGGGCAGCAAGGGGAGGTCTAGAAGACTACTTTCATATTACCAGCTCATGACATTTAAAGGCATGGATTTTAATCAAGAGCAGATAAAACAGTATTGCCTATTTGAGAGCTTCTACTCCAGCAGACAAACTCAGCCCCCTGGAGCATACAACTTTCCCTAAAAAGACAAGGTTCTGCCCATGGCAACACCTTCTCTGCTGGCAGCCTTCAGTGCCAAAAAGCCTGGCTTACAGACCATTAGGCATCTTACGAGACCTTGGGACACAACAAAAAGATGCATCTAGGTGTGCTGAGCAGTATTCTCCACTTCCATTTCTTAGCAAGAAACACAAGTGCTTGCTGCTTGATTTGTTCTTATGTTCAGATGAATTTTTGAGCAGTTGTTAAAAGATGCTGAAAGCTTATGGCAGGTGATTCCCATCTCTTATGGTCCATATAAACATGCAGCAATAAAACCTTTTAACTCTGCACTAAAGACAGCTATCTTTAGAGCACAACATGAGCATTCAATTAAATTAGGGTCAAACATGAGGTTGAGAGAGACAACTGCAACAGGGAACACCCAGGAAGCCTGGACTTCTGCCTGGGCAATTGGGAAAAAAGAGCAGAGATGGCTACTTCAAAGACAGCTTGCTCAGAAATGGCAAGTGTAACAAAAATCTCAGAACAGAAAGCACACCTCTGTGAACAACTCCATAGGAGGGGGAAAAAAAACCCAAACCAAAACTAAACAAAATTAAAAAGCTGTTATTTCAGAACCGGATTTGTAGCAGCTCAGGAAAGAGATTTACACCTCCATCATAGCAGACAGAAGCAGAAAAAGCAGTCACTCAGAGTAAAAAGCCTTGAATAGTAATAACACTGGATTCCAGCCTGAGTTTTTTTGCAGCAATATTAACCACAATAGGAGTGAATAAAAGCCTACAGAGCTACAACAAATCACAGGTGTGCTGCATTCATCAAGACAGGTTATTAAAGTGACCAACAGGATACAAGTTCACTGTATGCCCCCACATGATGCAGGAGGAGTAAGAGCCTCAGGGCCATTCAACAGGACTGTCTCTGCAGGGGGGTTCACTTTTAACAGGGAACCCTTTTGCTGTCCCCTTGTGTACAGTGGGACTCTCGCACAACTCCCAGCTTGCTTCCATCCCAAAGCATGAGGGCTCATCAGAAAGGCTCACTGATAATGAATGATGTTTCCACTCCTAGCCACTACTGAGGGATCCCAAAGTAACATCCATTCTGTTGGTAAAGGTCCCGCCTCACTTCACCTGCCCTTGTAGAATGCAGAAGAATCAGCAGCCTCTCAATTCAGGGAAATGGGAGATGCAAAGTCAGAGCCACCCACACTGCGAAAATTGATTTCAACCTTTCCCATCTTCAGTCCAACACCCTCAAAGAGGTCTAGCACCCTTCAGTTTACCCAGGTATTTTCCAAATGTGCATGCTGAACTTCTTGTTTGAATTTCCAGAACTCAAGCTTTAGCACCTAAACGTTCTCGCAGTTCCAATATAAAAGCTACAAAAACAGAGAGTGTAAAGCAACTCAACACTGAAATGTTGTTGCAGAGCAAAAGAGGTTAAGTGGCTCCAGCCTCCTCAAAATGCCCCAAGAAAATCCTTATTTCTCAGTCACGGATTCGTGACTCTCACTACCTTAGAAGGTAAGGAGGGGTGGCTGCTTCAGCTGTGGATTTGAAGAATGCTCAAGCCTTACAGTCAAGCACAGATTACCTTAAAAATTATGATTAAATATACAAACATAATATACCTTGATCTAAAGTACTTTTTCCCCCCTTTAAAAAAGAAACCACAAAAAAATCCTCAGGGAGATTAACAGTTTATCAATCACTTGTATGACAACATATAAAAATTTCAAAGATGCCTACCTTCAGGGATTTTGTACATGAAAATTGAAATACAGAAGTGACATTAGGAAATCATCATGTCCCAAGGAAAAAGATGCTCAACTCTCCAGGCAACTACTGCAATGGAACATTTGCTGGCATCATTCTTAATATCAATTACTAGAGTTATTCCCAAACTTGAACCATATTCAACACCTGTTGCACTTCTGACTTGCCCAGCCATGGCTGCGTGGTTATCCCCAACCTGCTTGAAACAGCTTAAGACAAGAACCACAACTTGGAAAAAAGAGAAATCGACCTCATTCCCTGCTGTCACCTAAACACACAAATGCAGCTCAAGATGCCCTGAACACTTTCAGACGTTCAACTGAAAAACAATCCCAGGAAAACCTCAGCTACAGACAGCAACGTTGTGCTGCCAGCTTTCCCTGGCTTCTGGAAGGCTACTGTACACATTGGGAATTTTGCCCTGGAGCCAGAACCAATGCTTGTATCCAATATATCACTGCACTTTAAAGGAAAGCCATGAAAAAGCAACGCTGCACTCACCTGGCTGAAACTAAACATGGATCCGAAGCTAAGGGTAATCAATATCTTTGCCAGCACGTGCAAGAATCTGACTAAGAGCGCTATTTCCAAAAATCTAAGGGATATGTTGTATAATTAATGATTTCTGCAATGTTTTCTCCTTTCTGCTTATTCACAGACATCTGCACTGCTGAAGTGAACAAGAAATAGCCACCAACCTCTACCACCATTCTCTCCTCGAGGAAAATCAATGTTGTACTGACTCAAGGCACTTTCCATTCCTGAAAAGCTAATTACCACGCTTTACTCAAAAAACAAAACAAAACAAAACAAACCAGTCAAGCACCATACATAAACAGCAGATAGTTAACAAAATTTCAAAGCCAAACCCTATTTCAAATACCTGCAGAAACAGCCGCAGACTGTTCCTCTTTTCAGTTTGCATCAGAATAAACAACTAAATTTACCAAATAACTATTAAATTTAGCCTCTTTTTCTGACACATTCCTCAGGATAGCTCATCAGTTACAGCAGAAATAAGGATGAGATATTGCAGAGTCCAAATCTGTACAGCATATTAGGCAAGACATCAGTGACAAGTGCACAAAATGAATCCTTAAAGCCAGCCAAGACTTCTGAACAAAATAGTATCTCCAAGGAGTAGCAGTCC